ACAATGCCTTATGCAAAATATCTAAGCTCTAGGCCTTTTGAGTCTTTACAAGAAGGTATTTTAAAAGTTTTTACTATATGTACATAATTTATAGTGAAAATCAATGACCCCCAGGGCGGGGCCAATTTTGACCCCAGGGCTATAATTTGAACAATCTTGGTAGAGGTCTACCAGACAATGCCTTATGCAAAATATCTAAGCTCTAGGCCTTTTGGGTCTTTACAAGAAGGTATTTTAAGTTTTTACTATATGTGCATATAGTGAAAATCAATGACCCCCGGGGCGGGGCCAATTTTGACCCCAGGGCTATAATTTGAACAATCTTGGAAGAGGTCTACCAGACAATGCCTTATGCAAAATATCTAAGCTCTAGGCTTTTTTGGTCTTTACAAGAAGATTTTTTAAATTTATTCTTACAATTTCTTTTGGTTGCCATGGCAACCAGATTTCTGCATGGAATGAAATTCTTTGAACAACTTTGGAAGTCCTTCACCCAAGGATCAATCCTGCCAAGTTTGGTTGAAATTGGACAAGTGGTTTTTCACAAGAAGATTTTTTAAGTTCACTATATAATCTATATAACACACAAACAAACAAACACACACACACACACAGGTGAATCGCTATATGCCACAGCAGCGCAGATGCTGCGGTGGAATAAAAATCAGCTTACTACCGATTGAACGCATCTCTATCTACGCCGGACAAAATAGTTCCAAGACTTTGTCTTGTTTTAACCTGGCATACATAAGTTTGCTCCCTTAGTTCATGCATTGAACTGGTGTAAAAAGGGCAATAACTCTTTTAACAATCTAATTTATGTGAAAAACAAATGATATACACACTGAATTATGGCACTTCATTCCTGAAAAGATTTACTGAAACATACACAGGTGATATGGAATAAATTATAAAATCAAAACAAAACTGACAAAACAGTCATTAATCTAATAATGTGACCATTAGGGGTCAAAAATGTTGGGGAAAAAATGCAAAAAAAACCAAAAACTTTTAACTTTCAACTATCTCAAAGATACAAAAGTTAACTTTAAAGACTGCAAAATACAGCTACTGATTGGTTGGTTTGGATATAAAATTTGAATTTGACCAATGACAGAGCAACATACTCATGCAAAATTTAAATTTGACCAATGGCAGATGAGCAGATCTGTTTCCTCTACAGTCTGAACAAATAGTCATTTAAGTTACTATTACAGCTGTACACCTCCAGATGAACCAAAATATTTTTTTTTAAAAATCAAACTTGAAAAAAAGTACAGAGATTTTAAGAAAAGTAAAATGATTCAAAATAAAAGTAATAATTTCCATGTTATGTGCGATTTATGACTAAATTTGCAGATTTTTATCCAATAATTGCATGCAAGTTGTTTTCAAATTTTGCAGGAATGTATGTAATGCACTACTTCAAATAACTTAAACATCACTCTTTGTCATCATATAACAATTAAACAAAATATGGCAAAAAGTTCAAAATCTACACCTTATTTGATGAATATGTACCAAAGATAACAATGTTAAATCCTCAAGTTCTAAAATGGACATTACAGTACACAATAGGCATATATAAATATATGATATATAGATAAAATATTGAGCATTATAATATCAATGGATAGAAAAAAATGTAAATAAGTATGATTATTTGTAAAAATAAACTTACACTGATTTTGAGAGTGTGTTAAACAGAGATTGTCCCTCTTAGTGGAACAGGAATGATCATTTTTCATCTTGAATTAACAAAATTCATACACAAAATGCTATAAATGAAATGGACATAAGATTTCTGCTTTTGATGATTAAAAAATCATAACATTTTAAAGATAATTAAACAAACAAAGGACAAAATCCCAGAGAGAGTGTTATATAGGATTGTGATAGTAACCGGTATCAAAACATCAAAAGTAATTTATTTTGTTCCATAGATAATCAGGGCTGTATTTCATAGAAAGTCCTAAGTGTATCCAAAGTGCTAGGACATTAGACCAACTTTAGGACTAACTCACATGTAAGACTGTTACAATAAACATTTCTATCTTTTGTAAAGGACATTATACTTAGATCAAATTCTGCTGAGAAAAGTTCAGAAATACAATGGTTCATGCTTAAACCTGCAATGTGTATATATTCATCAGCATAGCCATTCAGAAACTGAAGTAGTCATAACATAGGAGTCACAAATTAGAACATTTTCTTTGAATTGAAGTGCCAAATTGTCGCAGATTTGATCTTAAGAGTGATTTCAGACTAAAGACTGTCTATGAAATACAAACCTTAGCAGGACAACAAAAAATACACGGCTGTTATGTTATTATTCAACTTGCTTTTAAATATTTGGTTGTCAGTCTGGAAAATTAACAGCACTAACTATATAGTGTCATTTCTTAACTAACAAAAAAATAGACTTAGATGCCATTTAAATAAATAAATAAACAAGAGGGCACATTTAGAACCTCTAAATGATAAGATATAGCCATAAAGTAGTAATAACTAGAACTGTGTCCAAAGGACACGGATGCCCCCACTGACAACATATATATGGTATATAGTGAAAAAATCAACAAAGGGCAATAATTCTGTTAAATTTGGTCGCAGCAAAAATTCCTTCCTTTACTACCATCTACACATTAAGGTTGTTCATCCCAGGAAGTTTAATCAAAATCTGCCATCCGGTTTAAGAGGAGTTGCGTTCACAAAATTTCTACATAGTATATAGTGAAAAAATCAACAAAGGGCCATAATTCTGTTAAATTTGGTCGCAGCAAAAATTCCTTCCTTTACTCCCATCTACACATTAAGGTTGTTCATCCCTGGAAGTTTAAGCAAAATCTGCCATCCGGTTTAAGAGGAGTTGCGTTCACAAAATTTCTACATAGTATATAGTGAAAAAATGAACAAAGGGCCATAATTCTGTTAAATTTGGTCGCAGCAAAAATTCCTTCCTTTACTACCATCTACACATTAGGGTTGTTCATCCCTGGAAGTTTAAGCAAAATCTGCCATCCGGTTTAAGAGGAGTTGCGTTCACAAGATTTCGGGACGTACAGACGGACGGACAGACGTACGGACTGACGGACAAGTGCAACGCTATATGCTCCCACATTGTGGGGGCATAAAAAGCAAACTTTTAAGCATTTCTTTAAATAAAGTAGGAGATAAACAAAAGTTTATGAGATAGTATTTAAAGTATTGGCCCTCACAGCATTCCATTAAACTTATCATCAGCCAATATAGGGACTATATGCGGGCCAGTATAAAATCCTGCCATGAAATATTTGGGTGATATACATTATGGAATGTTGTACTCATGCTAATTTTATGTAATTACTTTTGACACATTTTTTATATTAAACAATTTGCTTAAAGCTTCATCATACAAAACAAACATACAAAAAAAGCTTTAAATGTTCAGTAAATATACTGTATAATACATTATGGAATGTTGAATGTTGTACTCTTACCTTTTTTTAGTAATTATTTTTTTTATACAATACAAATGGCTTAAAGCTATATCATACAAAATATAAAAAAGCTTTAAATGTTCACTAAATATAAATTATGGAATGTTCTACTCAACTCAACAGGTCCCGGGTTCGAACCCCATCAGGGGCACTGCTAATTTCCTTGAGCAAGACATTTACCTGCGATTGCTTCACTTCAACCAGGTGTAAATGGGTACCTGCGAGGGTGGTATATTTCCGTTGCGCCAGAGTGTTGGCTGCACAAAGCGGAGTTAAAAGACTCCCCAGGGAGATTGATAGATAGATACCAGTAGCCCGATGACCATGGGTAATAGCTGTAAAGTCGGTGAACGTGCGTAAGCATGAAACTTAGACTATAAAATGCAATTACTTTACACTTTGTAATTAGTATTTTTATACAATACAATTTGTTAAAGCTATATCATGCAAAACAAACAAGAAAAGCTTTATAAAGGCACAATTACATAAAGAATAGCCTGTAACTATAAAACATTACATCATTGACTAATCAAAAACAATATGTTAAATAATATATATATAAAAATAATGATAGCATTTTGATATTGACACTGAATTTCACAATTAACACAACAACATGAATTTCTGGCAAATCAACAACAACAAAAACAAAACACTAAATTGATATATGACATCATAAAACAAGAGAGCTCTGGAGGGCCTATGTTGCTCACAAGAATAAATATCAGGTTAGTTTATGCTACAATCTTATTTGGTACAAAATAGACTGGCTGGAGACCCATATATTTCTCATACAAAAAAATCAATACTTAAGAAAAAGACCATTTAAATTTTAAAGCTGGTACAAGCAAAGTTATGTGAAGGTCCATCCATTATTTAACAGTCAATCAATTTATGACCCATCAAAAAATGTTTTGTGGAGAAATTATTTTCAGTATGTTTTTTTCTATTCTTTTCTTTATTTTCAATTATGTTGGCCTCTAAAAACACAAACACACACAAAATACAAGGCAAATAAAATTATCAATCTAGTTAATAAGAATCAAGCAATGGTGATGGAGGTAAAATTTTGCAATAAAATTTGATCATTACTTTCAGAGGTATTGACTAATGCTGATGACGAGAAACCCATCTAGTCCTTCTTATCCAAAACCTTCAGATTTCACAGGTGTGCAGAAAAATGCCAAAAAGTATCTTATTTTACCAAAAAGTAAACAAAAGTACAAACATAGCATATATACAATGTACCTGTAGTAATGAATATATTTTCTTTTTTTTTTTTTAAACACAATTCAAATTGAGAAAATAACAAATTTCTAAAACTCAGACTCATTTTGTATCTGATACTTGATTGGCAAATTTAATCTCAACATTAAGAATTATTACAATATGATTATGTAGGTCAATTATATCACCATAAATATTCCATCATAATATTATAAAAATCATTTTGTAGTCATTAACCTAGAAAATTAATAGTTGGAAATTTTCATTGAAAAATAAAAACCACAATAAAACATCAACATGCACATGTTAAAAAAGTAAAGAATAACCTTCATGTACGGTATCTTACCTTTCGATTTAAAGAAAGAATTACAGAAAAATTTAATCAGGAGATGCAAAATTACTTAAAAAAATCAAAGAACAATGGTTGATAAACAAGGACATCCTTGAGTAAAATTGTTCAAAACATATTTACATGAATACTGGTTTTACAAAAGCAAACACACGTACTTGTTCTAATTTCCTTAAGATATCATGTAAAGCTAACATTTCATTCTGTATATGTGATGCTGGCCTCGAAAAATCAGATTCCAGCTCACAAAATACAAGAATTGGTACAAACTGAATGCTACATTACAATACACCAGCTTGGACAAGATCAAACAATTGAGATTCTATTAATACGAAGATTAAATTCTTCTCTTTTTTTGTTGTTGTTGTTTACCTTTAAATTACAATTACACAATCAACATCACACATTGATCACACACTTATAGTGATGGAATACCACTTGTAAAATTTTTTTCTTTGCATATACAAATGAAAAAATATTTGCTTCAATTTTCAGAGTTCGGTAAAATTCGGTTTCTTTTACCCTCTATTTGCAGTTATCTTTGCCCCCCTCCTCATCGTCTGTATCGTCATCGCCACTAACTTAGTCACTATCCTCTTCAGAGTCACTTCGCACGTCTCCTAGCTGGAGAAAAAAATTCACAGTCAAAATCTGTTATTCAGGTTGATAATAAATAAATACAATCTTTTTTAGTAAACAATTAGTAAGGGTAAACAACTTATTAGTATTAGTAGCACATGTATTATAAACACTTTTTTTGTAATAGAATTTTTTTTTTATAAAGCACAATCTGTTCTAACAATAGAACAACTGACAACCATAATATTGTACACGCTATTGTTTGAATTTTAAATATTTTTTTTATTATATTTTTTTTTCTCAGTTATTAGGCCTCTATTGCTATTAGTGTTGGATATAAATCTATCAAGCATTATCATAGGAAATACAGGACATAATATTATACTCACACACATACATACATAAACAAAATATATATATGCACCTCTTTCCTGTTACCTTGGTGAAGATATCATAATTATCAAGGATTTAGAAAATTATCAGCCAAAAAGGAAAGCAGAAGCAAACAATTTGATCTTTGACCTCCAACCTTGACCTTGAAAGTGAGAATGTTGGTCTTGTTGGAAACATATTGTCTGACTGTGGAGAGGACATAATGCCAAATATTTTGACAATTCATTCAAGTTGTAACAAAGTTAAAGGCTGACACAATTTGACCTTTGACTTTCAAGTATGACCTTGACATCTGCTTCTTACACATCCACTGATTGTAGTGAAGGTATATGCCAACTAGTAAGACAATTCATCAAGTAGATCTAATGTTATAAGCCAAAAAGAATTCCAATTTTGTGTGACTTTCACTTCAAAGTGCGAACAAGGGCCTTGCACAGCCGCAATAGTCTGTTTTGAAGACATATGCCAAATATAAAGGATTTCACCTTCAACCTCCCGTCCATCCTTGATCTTGATTGTAATGACTTGGGTCTTGCTCAAGACTACTTATGGTAAAATTGGGTATCAACTTTTTTTGAATTATGCATGCAGAAGTTAATGACTTAACTGCACTTAAGACAATATGACAAATATCTTTAGTTCCTTCCCTTGATGAGACCTTGACCTTTGAGCTAGTGACCTGGATCTTGCAGGTCACACATGATTATGTGTACAAATTTATATTGAAATCCCATTATGCACAATGTGCTACATATCTATTGAAAAATTATTTTAGAATCCATTCATAAATAACAAAGTTATAGGCCTAATAGCTTAGACAAGCAGCTGACAGATGGGCGGACGGTATCAAGTCATTACTTTGATCTTTGATCTGTAAGCAACCCATTTGTAGCCCATAAGCAACATTTCTTCCTAATAAGTACAGTTTGTATGGAATGAACAATGATATCCATCCCATAATGTCATTTAAGTCTGTGCAGTTGGATAGACATTCTAACAAGACAATACTTATGTGGCTACTCAACTGTTCTCTCAATTGTTTTTTTGGCCACATAAAGAAAACTGTCACATAAAAGACTAATATGGAATGAGTGACATCAAAGAGAAAGTACAGTTACCTTTTGTTCATCTAAGCCACTTAAGTATCCAAATGTTAGCTTGCACGGACAAACAGACGGACGTTTCAAAAACTATAATTATGTCAGTCATCTTGGGCATAAAAAGCAACATAAAGTACTGACATTTCATATACTGACATTCCACAACAGCAATATGCACAAATATCTACATTGTATTAACATACAATCATGTAAATTATCTTTTAGTATTACAACTTTTATGTGCAGACTAATATTTTAAGAAGTTAGTGCTTTCATATCAGTATAATATAAAATCACAAATACAACAAAATTAAGCAAATTTACATTATTTACAGATGTACAACACTGAATAGTAACCGTTAAAATTCAATTAAACACAACAAAAACACTGAATGCTGATTCACACTTAAATAAATATTACTTTAAGATTCTAAAACTGAAGGATCAGTTACTTTCAAAACACATTTCCTGAAGGCTGAATCAATTTTAAGATCATTTTACTGAAGTGAGTGCTCACTTTTTAGTTTTTAATATACAGAGAATTTAAATCGACTAATTTATTATAAAGACCAAGCAATCACTAACAACCTTAAATCTTGATGGCTGATTTTTTTGTTTGTTAATCTGAGTGTTATCAGAGTTGATAACAAGATAAAAGTAAATAAATGAAAAAAAAAAAAAATTAAAATTTTTTAATGCTCATTATCAATCTCTAAATTCAAATATTATTGCTGAAAGTCTACAGTATGTAATTAACCATTAAGTTGTTGTTAAAACAATACAAGTATGAGTGATGGCTGTTGAGGGTTAAATATGCATTGTTTTGACTGCATAAACATCTTCAGAAGCAGGAGGGCGCATTTAAAGCCCAAGTCTGCAGTATAGTGATTCAAATAGTTGGAGTGTATCTGCAGATGTTAATGCACAAATAACGTGCATTTGCTCTATTCTTGCATAAAAGTATAAATAGAATTAAGTAATTCCATGTTGTTGTTTTTTGTTATAAAGTATAAAGAAACCATTTTGTAATGCCTTACAAGTGCTAGCGTGATGTTATTTGACAGTTATGTTTTGATAACAAACTTCTGGGGCTGTCATCGAGAAAGCTATTTTCAACAATTGCCCTGAGCCTAGAATATTTAAAAACATGGAATAATGGCATGTGCTTATGTGTTTTTAATTGCTAATGCAAGTTTTCTTCTCTATTGATGTATACATGTCTGCATATTTTTCATGCAAGAATTTACCTTCAGTATTGCTATCTTTAGACAATTGGTGGCAGCTGATTTGTTTGGTTGTAAATACACGTCTAAATATAATAGATGCTATCCATAACTCAGGAAATGTGGGGTTTTCTAAACTAATCCCCTCCGACTACAAACAAACTTTTACTATTAAAGCTTCCTGGTGCACTAGCTGTCACAATCAATTAATCAATCTGTTTTGCTTAATTTCGAAGCCATGACCGTAAAAGTTTGTTTTAACCACAAGTAAGCTGGGGAAAATACAAAATATTCTGAAGTCCAGACCAAGAATACCACTTCAGAGAAATTGTTTCAGAACAAATATGAAAGAATTATGAAAATTGTTGAAGATAATATACGACAGTGCAGAATTCAAACATGTTTGCAATGTAACCGATAGACAACACTCATGTTGACCTAATTCCCAACAATAGTTTTTTATCCAAATACTTGGAAGAACAGTTACCATAAATATATACATAAATAGAAAACTGAGCAAGGACAGTAAACTTTGATTTTGAATAACTAGAAAACTGAACTGAACTATGACAGTAAATTTAGATTTTTAAATAACTAGAAAACTGAACTGAACTATGACAGTAAACTTTGATTTTGAATAACTAGAAAACTGAACTGAACTATGACAGTAAACTTTGATTTTTAAATAACTAGAAAACTGAACTGAACTATGACAGTAAACTTTGATTTTGAATAACTAGAAAACTGAACTGAACTATGACAGTAAATTTAGATTTTTAAATAACTAGAAAACTGAACTGAACTATGACAGTAAACTTTGATTTTGAATAACTAGAAAACTGAACTGAACTATGACAGTAAACTTTGATTTTTAAATAACTAGAAAACTGAACTGAACTATGACAGTAAACTTTGATTTTGAATAACTAGAAAACTGAACTGAACTATGACAGTAAATTTAGATTTTTAAATAACTAGAAAACTGAACTGAACTATGACAGTAAACTTTGATTTTGAATAACTAGAAAACTGAACTGAACTATGACAGTAAACTTTGATTTTGAATAACTAGAAAAACTGAACTGAACTATGACAGTAAAGTAAACTTTGATTGCAGAGCTAAATTGTGAAAACTGAACAGAATTAAGCCTGTAAACAAAGCAAAGAAAGTTAGTGGGCCAAACAATTCTCTTCATTGATCTATAGTTTAATCAAGAATAAACTTTTGAATTTTTACTAGTTACAAAAGATAGCAGAGAAAAATGCTTAAATGTCAAATAAACCTTTATATATATGAAATATGAAATCTTAATCTATAAAATCTTTAAAAGGTATTATTCATTAAAAAAAATTTACAATTTCTCTCCTTTTTTTTTTTGTTTTTTTAATTGGTTGGGCTGGGTTTTTCACTTCAAACCAACACAGTATAGGTCATTTGTTTACTTTCCAACTTCACTGATGAAAGAAGACCTAAGGTGCCCCTTCATGGAATTATTTCAGGCACAAATGAGCACCTGAATAGAACCATCAATGATATTAGCTAGCTTGATAGATGTGCCTCCATACAAAGTCCCTGTCCGGATACGGACCCATAGAGTTGAGGGGCAAGTGGTTAGAAGTTGACAACTTTAACCACTTGACCATAGACGTGAAAAAAAGAGTGTGAAATTTTTTAAGGTAAAACCCATTACTTAAACTTAAATACGGGAGAAAGAGATCTTTTTAGTATAGTTGCTATTAAAGAACACACAAACTATAAGCATTACACTACTCAAACACAAAAATTCATATTGATGTGTTCAAAACATTAACTAAGACATTGAGCAAAAATATATGGACAAAACAATATAACAATCAGGAACTACATGTGACCAGTCTATTGTTCTAACATTTCACTGTATTGTGACAAAAAAAATCTATACAATTATTGTACGCATTGTGCAATATTATTAACAAAGCGTTTATGCTTTATTTTTTTTAGTTACCCAAGACAAAAGTCCAAAATGCTAAATTTTGCTTAATCAGGGGCAATAACTAAGCTACATCTCCAATAAAATTCCTACAAATTACTTAAGTAAATTTACATGATGACTTATATTCTTAATAAGTTTCAGAGCTCTAGCTGAGCTATAATTTTTGAGTAAACAAAAACATGCATGTATAAAATGCTATTTTTTGCATGCCTTATCAAGGAAAATAACTCTGATCTCTTTTATATTCAAAACAAAATTGTACAAAACTTGCAAGCATAAATTTAATGCATTTTTTCTCAAATTATTAAGTTAGAGATCCATGGTAAAAAATTTAACTCTATTGTTTGTTTTGTTTATGTAATTAAATCATAAAGTATCTCTCTATTTGCTCTTCTCAATGAACAGTGCTCACTTATGTGATCAAAATGTAAAAAGAGTTTTAATTTACAGAAGTAAAAAGTAAAGGTCCAAAATGGAAAGACTAACTACAGGAATTGAGGGGGTTCTCCCAGCATCATCTTTACTCAGTAGGTCACATGTTTTATTATTATTATTGTTTTTAACATTGCTGTGTTCAACATTCAAATTCTTAACCACTTATAGAGGTGCAACAATATAATTGTTTTATGCGGTAAACGGTGCAAAAACTGGTAAAAATCAGTAGAATTTTGATTCACGTCCCCTTTTTGAAAATTGCTAAATAGCAAGGCATTAACCTTTGTCGTAAAATTATGACCCCTCTGGTAAACATTACTGGATCATCACTCGATATATCATCACCTTAGTGCAGTAAAGAATTAACTCCTTTTGAAATTCAATAGGAGTTAACCCATTACTGCACTTACGCAACAATATTATAGGTATAATGTAGATTTGCCTGTTTCATTGCACCTCTAACCACATAAAGTCTTCTTAACATTTTTCAATAGAAAATGAAATAGTAATTATAACCAGTCAGGTAATAAAACTTATAAACCAATTCCTAGGTAAGAATTACACACAAAATTTAAGCTTGCTATTTTGTACCACAATTGTGCAAACTTATAAAAAAATTGCTATGTTGACATGAAATTTCAAAATGAATGAGCTCAGTTGCTAAGCGAATTAACATAAAAAATGTTAACTTTTTATTACATTTATTTAATTCAGCCATAAGCATTTATGAGCAAGATGCCAAATTGCCTGATGAATTACATAATTAAAAGCAATTGTATGCAAGACTTTCAACTTTACTTAACACACATAATATGCCCATTCACAGTGGCATGTTTACACAATAATGCATAATTCATAAAGGTCAAATGTTATAATAATAAGTATAATTACATGACAATTTATTATATCATAAGTAATAAATTTCACAAAGCTATGATTCAGGAAACTCTAGTTACTGTAAAGAATTTTGTAAGCATTATTGTGACCTTGACCTATGACCTCCACCAAGTTTACCGAGCCCATGCATATTCCCACTCAAGTTATTTATCAAAAAATAGATTAACACAAAATATCACTATGACCTTGACCTTTGACCTAATGACCTCAAAATAAATAAAGATCATCTGCTGGCTCATAACTGGCAACATCCCACACTAGTTTACCAAACCTGTGAAGGCTTATTCCTTCCCATTTATTGATCATGTAAAACAAATTTGGCCATCCTGTGATAACCTTGTGCAATGACCCTACCAAGTTTAACATATTTATTCTCATTTCTTCTCAAGTTATTGATTAGACAAGGAGTTTCAACAGTGTCACTGTGACCTTCACCTTTGACAATATGACCTAAAAACCTACTGGCTATGAACAATATCCCTACCAAGAAACATAAACAACAGCTTATTCTTTTTAAAGATGTGTTCGGGAGTTTTCATATAGACATATAGGCAAAATTAAACTGTTCAATAGAATTTCTTTAAACTTGGCATGTTGTTAAAATATGTTAACAGAAACATTTTAAGGGTCACTAGCTGTTCTCAAGATATTTTTAGAGTGCTTAGCTATCGAAAGAGAAAAAAAGACGGAAAACTAATAGTTTCACATCCAGATTATGCAACTTTTTTACCATTAATTTTGATAAAAAAAAAATGTTATGTTAAGAGAATTGTTTAAAGCCCAAAATAGTAAAGAATAAAGACTGACTGAAGCACGTTAACACAATATAAATAATTGAACTATAATTACACAATACTCTATGATACCTTATCATTGTAAACCTTCTGGAAAGCAATACGGGCTATCATTACACTCCAGATAACATGAAGTATCTGTAATACTATAAGGAGCCCATTGAAGAAATAATAACAAGGAAACGGTGTGAGATGATCATTTACCTCAACACTTGTCGAATATAACACTCTGTAAGAAAACAAATCGTAAACATGGCATTACAAAACTTTTTTATTTTTGATTTTTTTTTTTAAAAATCTAAATCCACGATGTAAATCAACGTAAGACCTGTAAAATAAGAAAAGGGTTTTCTTCTACCTGTTACTTAACTTAAGATCTACACCAACAAGCGTTTCTGTATTGAACGAAGATCAGCAAAGCAAAATTAAATCAGTTTTTAATAGTAAAAAAGCAAAAACAAAACAAAATGCTCGCACACAGATTTTTTACTTCCTTTATCAGGAAAGAGAAACTAAAAGATGAAGGCAATACTGTTCTTACCTGGAAAAGAAATTTTGGGGGGAAAAAAAACAAAAATATTGCTTTCAATCTTTTATCTATACATTTAAATTAAAAATCTACTGTTTTGTGTGAAATCTACCACTGTCAAACTCTAGTGGGTTAAAAAATTTCAAAACCAATCAAATCATTTATAAGCATTTCAAATCAATTTTGGCAATATAAGTGCTAATATAAGTCCAATAAAACAAACACTTGCTGGGGTAACTATTTGCACATATTTATATCCCATCCATATACTATGTAATATACATATGGCAATAAATATATGGCTTTTGCTTGTTACCTTGTTTTTATAGACACTTCTGTACGCGATTCTAGCTATCATGTACGTCCAAATGAGATGAAGTATTTGAAGTGTGACGAGTAGCACAACAAATAATATATGAGCTACCCATTTACCAACTATTTCATATGCTTCAAATGTAGCTGAATACAATGCTCTGCAAGTAAATAAAACAAAATTAACAAAATGTGTCCATTTGTAATAAAGAAACAGTCAAACCTGAGGCCAAGACACTGCTGAATAAAAATTTACATGTAGAATAATGTGTCATTAAACAAGCATGCCTCCAGGTAAGTTTTTTTAAATAAAAATAAATTTACTAGTAGTTTAAAGAGTGTATAAATATAAACAATCCATATGCTGTGAAAATTTGACAGAATTATTTCTATTTTTAACCTAAATGGGCAATACTATCAGAGTAAAAAATTCCTACACACAAAATTTATTTGAAAAATTACAGGAATTTTCTATAAAAATAAGATAATAGACAACATATAATAAAATTTAATTACTGAATGTTCGTGTTTGTGTGGCTTGTCTGATTATTTTAGGAATTTTCTATGGTTGGCATTGTCTCTGATACAAGTCTATTACATTGTAACTATTTTAGATTTAGCATTTTGATATCAAAATCCCGTTGTTAAATAATGGAAAGTTCTAAATTCAAACAAAGACAAGTCCATTATATAAATTTAGTAGGGGGTAAGGATTAATAATTCAATACACAAGTGAATGTTAGTTGTCAAAACCCAAAACTATATGCTTTGTAACTCAAATAATTATGCCAAGCTTTGCGGGTATACATATTGGTGTTTGGTGAACAGCCATCTCCTGAAATATCAACAACTTGTAAAGGAAAATATTCATTTTTCTTGATGCCTGTGAAGTTTACAGCAAACTAAAAGTCACAGATTAGCAAATCTTTCTATCTTGCAACGAAATTAAGAAAAAAAATACCCCCCCCCCTGCCTTTAGCTCTTGCTGCATAATTTAAGCAGGCTGATATACATATATACCTATAATATCTAACGGGTACAGGGTTTCTTTATATCAAATAACGGTCTAAATATATAAAAGTTTTTGTCCGTGCATGCATACAAAAATCCTGGTGTGGTTGTTTTTTTTTCAGCAGTACCAATGCAAACTCAACAAGAGCACCGCTAGGCGGAGCATTATATGCCCGAAAGTGGTATTTTTTTTTAGTAAGGATGAAGCATTTGTAAGACATGGGAATTCGCTTTTCATCCGCCGTAGGTTGATTAATACTTAAGTTATTAATAATGACCTTAACTTTTGACCTTGTGACCCCAAAATCAATAGGGGTCTTCTACCATATATGGACAATCATCCTAAGAAGTTTGAATATTGTGGGCCAATTGGAACTTTAATTATGCTCTAGAAACTGTTTTCAGTATTAAGGTAAAAGTGACTTTGACCTTTGACCTTGTGACCCCAAAATCAATAGGGGTCTTCTACCTAATATGGACAATCATCCTATGAAGTTTGAACATTGTGGGTCAATTGGAACTTAAGTTATGCTCAAGAAACTGTTTTTGGTTTTAAGGTACTTGTGACCTTGACCTTTCACCTAGTGACCCCAAAATCAATAGGGGTCTTTTGCCCAATATGGACAATCATCCTATGAAGTTTAAATATTGAGGGCCAAATTGAACTTAAGTTATGCTCAAGAAACTGTTTTCAGTTTTAAGGATATAGTGACCTTGACCCTTGACCTTTTGACCCCAAAATCAATAGGGATCTTCTACCCAATATGGACAATCATCCTATGAAGTTTGAACACTGTGGGCCAGATGGAACTTAAGTTATGCTCTGGAAACTGTTTTCAGTATCAAGGTAATATTGACCTTGACCTTTGACCCTGTGAACCCAAAATCAATAGGGGTCTTCTACCCAATAAGGACAATCATCCTATGAAGTTTGAACATTGTGGGTCAATTGGAACTTAAGTTATGCTCCGGAAACTATTTTCAGTATCAAGGTCATAGTGACCTTAACCTTTGACCTTTTGACCCCAAAATCAATAGGGGTCTTCTACCCAATATGGACAATCATCCTATGAAGTTTGAACATTGTGGGTCAATTGGAACTTAAGTTATGCTCCGGAAACAATTTTCAGTATTAAGGTCATAGTGACCTTGACCTTTGACCTTTTGACCCCAAAATCAATGGGGGTCTTCTACCCAATATGGACAATCATCCTATGAAGTTTGAACATTGTGGGTCGAATGGAATATAAGTTTTGCTCCGGAAACTGTTTTCAGTTTTAAGGTCATAGTGACCTTGACCTTTGACCTTTTGACCCCAAAATCAATAGGGGTCTTCTACCCAATTTGTACAATCATCCTATGAAGTTTGAACATTGTGGGTCGATTGGAACTTAAGTTATGCTCCAGAAACTGTTTTCAGTATCAAGATAATAGTGACCTTGACCTTTGAACTTGTGACCCCAAAATCAATAGGGGTCTTCTATCCAATATGGACAATCATTCTATGAAGTTTGAACATTGTGGGTCGAATGGAACTTAAGTTGTGCTCCGGAAACTGTTTTCAGTTTTAAGGTCAAAGTGACCTTTGACCTTTTGACCCCAAAATCAATAGGGGTCTTCTTCCCAATATGGACAATCATTCTATGAAGTTTGAACATTGTGGGCCAAATGGAACTTCAGTTATGCTTTGGAAACCAAATTGCTAACGGACTGACGGACGGACGATCGGACAGACAGACAGACGGACGCCAGGGGGTATAACATAATATGCCCTTTCGGGCATATAATAATAAACAATCTCTCAGGACTCAATTTGACTTTCTATATGTAATGATAAAAACAGTAAAACTTCAATGGCTAAAAACTTCAATCAGTAAAACATTAATCGTGGATTGATAGCAAAACTGTAGTAAGTCCTTCCTGATATTTTTGTTTATAAGTTACTGCAGTTTTGCAGTCAACCCTTAATTAAGAAATCTCTGAACTCAATGTTTGGTTCAGAATATTTTGCCTGTCTTGTACGAGTAACCTTTATACGAGTAGAAATATCTAGTATACACTCAATGTGGAGGATCCCTCATACACAGCTGCTGGTGGTCTCCTAAGCTTTATTGTAAAATACAACATGTTTTTATTAAAATTTATAGCCTTTACCTATCTAAAATGATTTTTTAATAAATAGACAACTGGTAACCGTACAAATAGCATTTCTTATTAGTAAATATGCCTTTATAATATAAATATAATATCAATATATACAATCCCAAAACTATATACTTATTGTTTAGCTATACCAAGTTGACCAAAATGCTGTATTATTTCTTTTTTATAAAGAAAATTTAAAGCAAAGAAAAATTCATTTTAATTAGAGAAACAATCAAACATGTACTGAAAAATAGATACAGGTACCGAAAGAAGAAAAACATCAAAAGCAACCATTCTGTTTAATTGTTGTAATAAACTATCTTTTCAAACACTTAGATCAAAATGGTTTAGCATAGAAAACCTATGTATTGATTGACAATATTGACTTGAGACAGTTTACTTTTCAGGAGGATTCTAGTAAGTTTTCGTAAATCATTACAATTTTCCGCATAGGTTTTTTATGATAGTAAGTTCCTATTACTTTTATCCATGGCCTAATGGCTTAGTGGTTAGTACAATGAAACTACGATTTGGTAGTTGCAACAAAATGAATTCAAACGCCTTTTTTTTTAAAAATATTTCTCAAAATTATACATACACCACAAATGGATAAATCATTTGATTAATACCTGGTGTATTTTTGTTAACTTTATACATGTAACTATGATAAATTCAAATTTTTTATTAATTTAACTTTGAGCGATTTCAAAATTTAAATGCTCTGCTGGAAAAACATAATGGTCAAATTTTGAAAAATATGACAATAATTATAATCTAAAATAACATTTCATCAAGATTACAGGCTTTATCTCATATTTCAAAACTGAAAGTCTTACACCTGTTACTGGGACAAGTAAGGCAGATGCTGTTGGTAATTTTAGGTTATACAATATCCCATTGTGCCATACTTTGAATGATTTACCTCAAAGTCTGAGAAATACCTGAACTCGGGTCAATATTGCCAAACAATCAATATCGCCACACAATACAAACTTTGAAATATATATATATATATATCTATCTACATGTATATATCTCCAAAACCAACTTGTCACTTAGGCCATCCTTAAAAAATATGTTGGTTTACATTTTAATGTCTTACAGAAGCACCCCTTAAGAATAATGAATTCTTTTATGAGAACTGAAAAACTGTTCAAAATAAAGTTTGACCTCGCCAAATTCACAAAGATCATTATTTTACACAAAATGTGCTTGACCAAACATTAAACTACTTGCACGAGGTACAACTGATAATCAAAATAATAATCAAAAGATTTGACATTTTTAAAGAAGCCAGTATTTTATTCTGAAACCAATAATTTTTTAAGGATGGCAAAGTCTAATGTGACAGGCAACTTGCATATCTTAAATTCCTGTAGAAACAAGTAAAATATATATCTGTCGAAAAAAAAAGAAAGAAATTGTTCAATATGGAAACTAAGCAAATTCAATAATCAACTTATGTGACTGTCAATGACTTTTTTTATAGTATTAATCCAAAATTCATGTCTATTCACACGAGCAGACAGTGACACAGCTTCCTTAAGGCTGTGTACTGACCTCTAAAAAAATTTCTTTGACATGTTTGCTCCTAAACCCCTTATATATTGGCCTACATATGAATTTAGACCAAGCTACACCCCTGGCAATTCTATCTAATTAGCATTAACATAATTTTTTTACACATACTATTCTACAATATCAAGTTCAGATGCCTAGTATTATGTAACTACAAATATCACATCAAGGACTGATCGCAAAACTGTTGTAAGTCCATCTTTATTTCATAAATGTTACTGCAGTTTTGCAGTCAACCCTTATTACACTAGATTATTTTGTTAGATTTTAAATGGACTGAGGTTTGTTTTAGACATAACAGGACTGGAATTATTTGTTTGAGATCTGTCTACAATTTGATGTAAATCTGTACCAATAACTTGCATGCAAATTTTCAGATTATTTGTTCAATCAATTTTTCTAGAATAATCAATTTAATTGTGAGAACTGATCCAAAAATTAAAAGCATTTAAATTATTTTAACTCGAGGTTATGAATGACACAAAAAGAGATGCATAGACTCCAGTAATTTAAACCAATTTAGATGCCTCTTATAATCACACAGGGATTAACGGTGGCTGCAATTCCAGCCAATGCTTCAACACTTAAAGGCAATACATCATAAGGGGACCGGAATACTGAATGTCTGAGAGATTAATTACCAGAATCTGAACATCATACTGTACAATAACATATATAAAGGCAATAAAAATGTCATCTACTGCCACCATAGCATGCTTTTCCTGTTACAAGGAAATAACACATTTATGAACTGTTCGTGCTTATAATATATTAGTGAAATGGAAAGCATATATAGTGAAATCATAAGTGTTTGCCTTCATTTTAATTTAGAACGTCCAGGTTTTATAAATTTCTGTAATTATCCTCTTTTTGCAGTTTTGTCACTTTGGGTAAGTGAGGAAAACACGGAGAAGGCTATATCATCAATCACAAAGTTAAATAATTGTTCAAACAAGAGCGATCAGTAATCACATGTGTCGCCTCATGATGGCCAATTTCATGTTGGGACAAATTTTGTGACAGACGGACAGACAGACGGACAGTGCACAACTAGACTTGGTACTGATCATTCCTGTAAAGTTTGGTTAAAATTGCACCAGTAGTTTATGAGGAGTAGTCCCGACAAGCTTTTGTGTATCTGGCAACACAAAGAAAAAAACACCTTTTTATCAAAGGGCCATAACTCGGCCAAAATCATTCAACCGGAAAACCCGTGCAATATGCGCTAGGACTTGAGCTACAGATCAATCCTGTGAAGTTTCATTGAAATTGCATAATGGGTATAAGAGAAGTAGCATGGTTCATACCAAATTCTCAAATCAAAATTCAAGGACTTTTCAAGGTAAAATTGTCATTTTCAAGGCATTTTTTCCTGATTGATCTTATTTAAAATTATACTTTTACAACCATATCTGTGATAAACATTTTTATTGCAATTGATCTTAGTTAAAATTATACTTTTACAACCATATCTGTGATATAAAACATGTAAATAAAACATGTGTATTTCAATTTAAGGTTCAAATGACTAGAATTGCAAAACAGTGACTATATTTAGAAAATCAGCACAGTCAGTAGAATATATGAACACCAAAACTGTAACATATAGGTGATTGAGTAAATTCACACAACTCTATCTAGTTTTTCCTTTCTTTTTTGGATTTCTCTTCCAATTTCCTCAACTTCAAGTTTCTTTTCTTTGAAGCCCTTTCTTAGAATGTTTGATTCAGTCACAAATGTTATTTTTCCAGTTTTCTCAGCCTTTTCCAACAGTTTTTCAGATTTTTTTCTAGAATGGTGATATCAGTTTGAAGTCTTGCCTTCTTTTTCTTGAGATCTTCAATAGCATCAAGGTCAGACTTCCTCTTCAATTGCCTCTCAGCTGCCATCTTCTCTTCTCTTTGTTTATCTAAATACAGCTTGTATTGATGCAGCAGAGACTGATGCCATTAGCTGCTGAGTTAATGGCACTTCCAGGACACCACCAACATGTGTTACATGGTCGCAGATCATCCTCTGAGCTACAAGAGACTGTTGCTTTAAGTTCTCTACTGTCATCTCCTTGTTAATCGAGAACCCTCTCTCGACATCTGCTTGACCATGGCAGATCACCAAGACAATTTTCACCAAAGCCCTTAATTTATTTGAATTGAATTATATTTTATGAATTGTATGAGTGGTGATTACAAATTGTGTGTAATGTCCACATAACTTCAGCCTTTTTTGTATCAGCCTTTGAAATGAACGGAGATATTCCTGCTTGATTACTGGACACACAGGGGACATTTTCTTGATTACTAGAAGTGGGTGGGGGTGGTATTGTCATGTCATGCATAGTTTCCGTTGTGGATTGGGATTGCACAATGTTATTATTTGAATCAGATCTACTGCAATTTTCAGTTTTGACATTTATAGTTCCTTCCTGTCTGACAAATGCAAGACCACACTTCGTCAATGACGACTTGATGTCTAGATTTTTTAGGTGCTTTGCACCCCTCGCATGCGATGTTAATGCACTCTCTCCCATTTGCAAAAAATCGATGGTTGTTTTACCCAACTGTATTGTTGAAGCCATTTGAGCTGAAACGTACATTTCTTAGTGTATTTTCCCATTTTTTACTTCGCAATGGAAGCTGACATTTTGTACACAATTTGCGATGACGTCATACACAAGTGCTTGTTAAAATCCGTGCCAAAACCGTAATGCTGGCTAAACACTACTAAAACAGATCCAAATGGGCGCACTCGATCGGGGCTGCCTTCGTTCACATGTCCGATTTGTAGCGGAAAATTTGCCTGACCTTTACAGCGACAGGTTTTTATACCCTTTTGGATTTTCAAGGCATTATACCGAAATTCAAGGGGTTTACTGAAATTCAAAGGACAATTTTAGTGTTTTTCAAGGCAACCCTGAATTCAAGGACTTTTCAAGGTTGAAACCAAATTCAAGGACTTTTCAAGGCCCGTGCGAACCATGAGTAGTCCGGACAAACTTTAAAATTAAAAATTATTAAAGGGCCATAACTCTGACAAAAATCATTGAACCGGAAAATGCTGACAATGTGCACAACTAGACTTGGTACTGATCATTCCTGTAAAGTTTGGATGAAATTGCACCAGTAGTTTATGAGGAGTAGTCCGGACAAGCTTTTGTGTATCTGGCAACACACAGTAAAAAACACCTTTTTGTCAAAGGGCCATAACTCGGCCAAAAATCATTCAACCGGAAAACCCGTGCAAAATGCGCAAGGACTTGAGCTACAGATCAATCCTGTGAAGTTTCATTGAAATTGCATTAGTGGTATAAGAGAAGTAGTCCGGACAAACTTTAAAATTAAAAATTATTAAAGGGCCATAACTCTGACAAAAATCATTGAACCGGAAAATGCTGACAATATGCACAACAAGACTTGGTACTGATCATTCCTGTAAAGTTTGGATGAAATTGCACCAGTAGTTTATGAGGAGTAGTCCGGACAAGTTTTGTGACGGACGGACGGACAGACGGACAGACAGACAGACAGACGGACAGACAGACGACGGAGAAGTGATCCCTATATGTCGCCACTACTCCGTAGAGGCGACACAAAAATGGGGACAAAACTATAAAATTGTTAAATGGATGGGGAAATAATCATTAACTTGAAGAATGGCGGCAAATTTCTTTACCTCTTCCATGGAGTGTGGCAAATTTCTGTATCTCTTAAATGGATGTTTTTTTAGTCACACAAATAGTGTTACTGTTAATTAGGAAACCTAATGATAATGAAAAGTAAAATTATACTTACACTACAGGGTAGTAAATAAGCCTCGACAGTACCCAAACAACGATAAATACCCCAAGAAAGAATTCACATGCTTTCTTATGGCCACTGTATTTCATCATTTTAGCAGCCTGAAAAGCAAAACTAGAGTTGTTTCATAGGACAGCATACTCAACTTTTCTCAGTGCTTGATAACAAACAAGAACTTGGATGAAGTTCAAAATGGGCCAAAATTCTGTCAAAGCTTAAGTGTGTTAAGTATCCCATTCCCTTCAGTAGTCCTGGAGATACCAACAACTTGCTGCCCCCCCCCCCAAAAAAAAACTTAACCAAGGTGTGATGCAAACACCTGGGTGAGTACAATAGCTCTCACTAATTAAACAAATGACTGTCTTTCCAGACAGGTATATCCCACTGTCAGGTAATTAATAGTTTAGTGAATACTCGACACAGCCTCATTACTGCCTCAAACAGTTACCCTTGAGTCACAGAATTATTCTATTCTGTACCAGCAGAGATAAATTCTTAAACATGATGTTCAGAAATTACATACCGCCATTGGGAAGTCAGCAGCATCATGGGTAAGCAGTACTATACAACCTATTCGGACAAAGTTTGTAGCCCATGAAAAAGACATCAGTAATATAGTGGCAATATGGTGAACAATCATCTGATTGAAGTCCTGAAATAGACATGGAAAAAATGCTTTTAGTTTCATGTTATACCATTATTCTTGTAAAACTGATATGCAAATGTATTATGATGTTCTTGTGTTATACAGTCCGACCCTGGTTATTTGACAACCCTTTATTCGAATACCCGGCATTATCCGAAGTAGATCTGCGGTCCCATTTTATCTCTATATAAATCAATATAAATACGAGCGTATTATTCGAAATGCATAATCCGAATACCTCCTATTTTTCGAAGTAAAATTTCGGTCCTGATTATACAATTATGAAAGAATTTCACACCTATTATTCGAAGCCAGCCTAATAATTATTCGAAGCCAGACTAAGTGGCGTAGATCCACTCGCCTTGTGAAAATTATCAACAGTCATTCGTGTATTTAGACAATCGTGATAATAACTCTTTGTGTGTTTTTTAATCAACTTTAATTACCCATAATGAAAAGCAATGCACCGTGTCCGATTTTGTTACTGTTATTGCTTGAAGATGACATCAATAATTTCATACATACCGTTTATTTTAATTTTTCAAAACATTCAAAACATTTTTTTTTCATTAATTGTAACGCTACATGAGAGTCTTTTTGTTAATCTAAAATACAAGAGTTTAGCTGTAAATACCGCAGTGACAATACGGCCATTATCAAGGGTTTGCGCGAAACGAAATAATACATAATGTAGAATAAAATGCAAGTATTTATGTCAATACAATGATTTTTACGCATCTTTTCTTTAATATTTAATTTTCTCAATTGATTACAGGAAGTAAGTGTGCTGTAAACAGTAGTTTTGCTATGATTGGTCAAAGTGGAGTAGTTTTCATCTATCACAATATTCAGATTTCGATTATTCGAACTCATCGATTATTCAAAGTAAAATTTCAGTCCCAGGCACTTCGAATAAACAGGGTTGGACTGTATTTTAAGATGTTTGTTTGATTACAGAGGTTATAGAGCTTTACCTAAATATAAAACAATGAAAAACTTAATATATGTACAAAAGATGTCTGACAGTTCTGGTGCTGATGTAATAAATAAAAAGCAGGTTTTTTTATCCTTTTTTATATATCTTTAACTTTAAAAAATCGTCAAAATTTAAAATACATTCATAAAAATCAATAGTTTCACAATATATCACCACAAAAAGGCAAACACCAGAAGAGCAACCTATACGTATTGGGAAAAAAATTCTAAGGAGTTGTTCAGTTTCTTTTATGATTTTACACATGTTTATTTTTGTTTCTTTTTACAGAGCCCCAATACAGTATAGGTCATATGGCGCAGATACAGGAAAGATGATTTTAGCTAACCTGGGGGTGTTACAAACTTTATGCAATACAAGGGGTCTAAACTTCACCTGCTGGAGCCAAGAGATACATGGACTAACGCTTCGATAATTATTTAGTCACCTCTTACGATCACTATGGGTTAACAGTGGCGGTAATTCTGATGCCTCAACCCGTAAAGGTAACCCTTCAGCCACAAGGGGATCTACACACAGTATATAATACATGAAACACCACACATATAACATATGAATTGTAAATGTCTTGTTGGTCATAGAAACTTTCCACTTGCCTTTATTAACAGTAAGTACAAATGTAATCAACTCTGATGACGTTACCATCAGAATAGCATGCTTGTGAATTATTCCCTTTGTAATGTTACAATGCTGTTCCTTACCTTTCGCTTATGTTCAGTCAACATGGAAAAAACCAAACACCAGTAGAAAGAAAGCTCCACCATATAGTACCAGTAAATTTCTCGTGGGACATCCTGCATGAAAAAACATGGAAATATTACAGTAAGTTTATTTCATTTTACGCCTTTTTCCAACAGTATTTCAGTCATATAGGCGGGTAGTTTCCTCACCATTGATTATGGAGATTACAGTAAGTAATGTTACTATATATTATAGGTTAAACATAATCATAACTATAATGTTTTCTCTTTATCAAGCTATAACTTTAAAAATGGGTCAAAGACAGAAAAGGCCGGGTTGCATATGTGTACAAAATATGATGAGGCTGTGATGTTACTTAAATTTTCTACCACTGTCGGACCATTGATGTTGAAAATTTAACTTAGTTGGTAAACTTGAAAGAATGAGCATCAGACCTGAAATGGAATCCCACAACATGGGACCACAGTCATGTCAATGTTGTGAACCACATATCCAGAGGCTGTGGTAAGAAGTTGTTGAGAAAACTGTTACGAAAATTTCCTACTATCTATTTATCATTAATTATGTCAAAATTTAACTAAATCGGCAAACAAGAAGTGGATGAGCGACAGACCTGAAATCAAATCATCTGATAATGCTGTATACAAAATATCAAAAGGCTGTGATAAGAAGTTGCTGCGTTAACTGTTACGAAAAATTCCAACCATTAACCATAAATGTCAAAATCTAACTAAGTCGGCAAACAGGAAGTGGATGAGCAACAGACCTGAAATCGAATGCCAGCGTATGGGACCATATGTTAATGCTGTATACAAATATCAAAAGGCTATGATATATAGTTGCCAAGAAAACTGTAATGAAAATTTCCCATTGTTGACCATTAATGTTGAAAATTTAACTAAGTAGGCAAACAGGAAGTGGATGAGCGACAGACCTGAAATCGAATCCCACAGTATGGGACCATGTGTTCATGCTGTATACAAATATCAAAAGGCTGTGATAAGTAGTTGCCAAGAAAACTATGAAAATTTCCTACTATTGACCATTAATGCAGAAAATTTAACTAAGTAGGCAAACAGGAAGTATATGAGCGACAGACCTGAAATCGAATCCCACAGTATGGGACCATGTTTTGATGCTGTATACCAAATATCAAAAGGCTGTGATATGTAGTTGCTGAGAAAACTGTTACGAAAATTTTCTACTATTGACCATTAATGTTGAAAATTTAACTAAGTCGGCAAACAGGAAGTATATGAGCGACAGACCTGAAATTGAATCCCACAGTATGGGACCTTGTTTTGATGCTGTATACCAAATATCAAAAGACTGTGATAAGTAGTTGCTGAGAAAACTGTTACAAAAGTTTTTCCCCGCCCGCCAGCAGGCCGCCCAACAATCACCATACTATAACCCGGGTTTGCACCAGTGCCACCTGGCCAAAAATCAATGATTCACAGAGCTCTGTCATTATGTGTCAATTGTTTTTTCTGGTTATTATGTAGATTTTAACAAATATTTTGGTAATATCTTGGCGGTTGATCCACCTTATCAGTTTTCCTGGATAACTAACCAGTAATTTCCAATCTCTCCACAAGTTACTGACAACTTATCCCACATGATTTCTGGATGAGCGGTAAGAGGCATATGAATATTATACCATTGGACTTAATATTCAAGATCAATGTAAGCATGCTCCCAATAACTGGCTATTAGGTTGTTGAAATCTTAACCATTATCATGACTTTACTATACTATGCATATATATTACAGATGGGATCTAAAATATATTTCAAAACAGTAAACAAAATCATTGTTCTTACCAATGTTGGCCATCCCTTCCAGCAATACTTTGTTTCCCAAAACCATTTTTTCTGTAAAATGAAAGAAACAAGTATCTTGTTAAGTTAACACTCATGACAACTGCAGAAAACAAGTAAGCAAGTAACGGGAAAAGTGCACAGTTCACATTTGGAATTCTAACCCAACTCTTCAGCATCAATAGCCACTTATCTTCTGTTCAGTACCTCTTATTTTACTATTAACTTCCTAACTATAACAATTCAAAAAAGAAAATTCAATGATATAAATTAAGCATAGAAATGGCGAATGTATATCAGAATCTTAGACAAGCTGCCAGTACAGAACGGAATATCTGGCTTGAGGGGTAACTGTTTACGTTGTTAACAAGGCTCTACTGAGTTTGAGCTTAGGAGTTAACTGAGAGCTAGATATTTCTGTGTTGGTGCTTGGTTCTTTTTCTTGCATTTGACATGTACATATAAATGAATCTCAGAAAGAAATAACTTAAATTAATATTTTCATTATGCACTTTTTTCTGACAGGAGCGTATGAATTTACAACAATGTGGATTGTTAGCTGAATGGTACTTTTTGTTTCCTACCAAAAAATAATGGGAAAACATTTTTCAATAGAATGTTACTGCGGATTATTTAAAGGTTCCTCATTTCTAAAAAAGGGTCCTCATAACATCCTATCATGAGTTCAGAAAAGAGGCAATAACTTGATTTCCATACGGTAAACTTTGTTTAAATTGTGCATACAGCTGTACTTTAAGGTATATATCTGACCTATGATGTCAAGTTTTTAGTTACTTATAGTGCCCATTAGGGTCGCAATACCTCAAGTAATTTGAAGTCACCTACTACACCAAGGGTTCTTTAAGAATTTAGGTAATGTCTTGAAGCCTGACATAAACAGTCAGGACAGAGTGCTTGTCTATTTTCAGAACTTGATAGTAAAACAAGAGTCTTGAAAATGTAGTAGTTCAAACTGACCATAATACTGTCAAAATCCATGTTTGAGTTATGGTTCTTGGATAGGGACCTCCTATTATGCTCAAATAAGTGTGTGAAGTTTCAACCCCTTCCCTGTATTAGTTTTGGAGATATCAACATGCAAACAAAATCTTAACCAAAGTGCAATGCTGAAGCCTGGGGGAGTGCTAACCTCCCTATTCTTCAAATAGCTGAGCTAAAAATTAAAAAAATATATATACTTACATTCCATAACACAACAAGGCCATATATAAATATTCCAAGGTAGAATGTAAAATGCCATCTGAAATAGTTAAATATCTTGAGTTATTGGTAAATAAAATCACAGAAATATCACAGAATTATCATTTACTTGTAACTATTCTCAGGAAACTTTCCCAAAAATAATGAGAATATATATTATAAAAGTTAGACTTTTAGGCAAGGGCTATTGCTAATGTTGCAATACTAGTAACTTGTAGCCCAACCAATTTACACTATACTTTAATATATGTACATTTGTTTTTGTGTTATTCATATTTTACCAGTATTATTGCAATATAATATTGTTAAACTAAACCATCACAGAAATTTAAATCTTGAACAAGTTTGATAATTATATTCTCATGCCTTTATATCATGACAACAAATTATGATAACTTGATAAAAATTTTAAATACTTCAGTTCCAAGTGAAACAGCTGCAACTTATATTTAAATATTTCTGATTATTTGCACAGCACTGCAACCTTATCTTCTGGCTGGGTTTAAAGTCATTTATTCATTTATACATCTTAATTTGCCTTTGGGCCATCCTTAAAAAAATGTTCGTTTTCAGTAACGCGACCAACTCACAAAATTTGCCCCTACTCAAAATTTTTTTTTCATGGTCTGGATAAATTTTTTTTTTTTGAATCAGAAAATTATGCCTTGTGCTTTGTTTTCGTTCTTGTAAAGGTTAATGGAAGAAATAAAATGTAGGTCTTGTTAAATTAGAATTCAGTTATCAATTTATTAATTGTTACCAGATTAGCAAAGCATATATTGTCCAGCATTTTGAAATTCCATGTTTATTTGGGAGTACAGTTCAATAAAAAAAAAAAATCGACCTACCTACCCACCTTGAAAATTCTGGGTCGGGTTACTGCAAACAAACATTTTTTTAAGGATGGCCTTATTATGACAAAAACTTGAGTCTTATTTACACCAGTTTAGTAAGTGTCCTGTGTTATAACCAATACCACATTAAGACTTTCAACAGTGATGCTGAATAGCAACATTGAAGATAAATTAAACTTAACAGCCAATCAATGTCCTATTTCATGCACACCTAGACAAAGCAGTACCACTAAGGCACAACCTTCTCCCTAACCTAATTACTTTTCATATTAAAGAATCAGTAGTCTACCTCCAAGACAAGACTTGAACCAAGAGCAGAATTGGCAAGTGATTTTCGGTCTGGTCTTTTACATTTTTGACTATAATATAAATGTATGACAAGTTAAAACATGTTTTTACATACCCACACTCCCTGAATTTAGTGATATCTTTTATAACAGACTTTGCCTTTCTGTTCCGCAACCATCTTTCTACTTCACGTACTGTCATATCTGTCTGCTTTGAGATCGACTGAAATTTTTTAAAAATCATTCATTCACAGTGTAATCTTTTATCTCTTTGCATATTATAGAGGCTGAATACAGGCTTCTGCTTTTTTTAAAAACTCTTTTTTATAAAGACTACATTCATAGACTACATACTTGACATTCCTTAGTGATAATAAGTCTGATTGCACTAAAACTAAAGCAAAAATAATCATGTGTCTAGAATTTTATTAACAAAACTTACCTCTAGATTATTATTTGAAGTTATTCCATTTTTCTGAAAGTAATTTTCAAGAACTGCATTAGGCTTAAGATGGTCAGCAGAATTTTGTTTCTTAACACCACACCAGTAACCAATAGGTGTCATTAAATACCTGAAACATACAAAATAATCATTGCAGCATAAAAATAATTTGGAGTTGTCTATAAGCACACTTATAAAACTAACTTATTCTCAGTAATTGTTACTGGAATAAGATTGCGGAAAAAAATAGAATGTTTAAAATCATGACAGGGCTCTAATCACAGGCAATTGGCTCTTTTGTCTCCAGTTGAAAATCAAGAACCAAATAACTATCCAGTCCCCATTGACTCTTTATAATCAATACAATGTATATCACTTGCCATGGTTCATTTCCCAACAAACATACAGATATGAAAATAGAATCTACATACACATTGTATCTTTTTTTCATATATACTTTGGCAAGTAAAGATTATATATAGTCAAGTTAAGTTAACAGGTGCTGGATAGAAAGTAGTCTGCAAATTAAGCAAATCCCAATAGCCAATGACTAGAAAAATTTGGGTTAGCTCCATAAAACTATTCAAGTAGCTAGTCTGACTGGCCTGTGATATATTAGCAGTAATGTATTTAAAAAATGAAAATAACCTGATTGGGTTTTCTGAAATGCTTTAATGCAGTAACTTTTCACACAAATGTCGTTAAAAACAGTCTTTTTAAAAAGTAATTGTCTCATACCAAGACACGTTATAAATGTCTCAGATTTATAATTTTAGTTAAATTAAACTTCTTTTCATCATTTTTACTGTATTAATCTTAACATCAAATGGGAGTAATTCTTTCATATTTATGCAGAGCAACAGATAAGGTGCGTATTTGCGTATTTACCCAATTAATTTTATAAAATACGCAATTGATTTTTAAAGAATGTGTATCAAAACCCGTTAAGAAAAATAAAATACGCAATTGTCTTAAAAACCCGTGCGTATTGTCATTTTCATCACCGCAAAATTAATCTGTCGTACGCTCGTAGTTTTGGACAAATTATATCGATATGCATGCTATCCGAATATTCCCGAATCAATGCTAACTAATCAACGGTCTCCGGTCTTCGACGGTCCCCGGTCTCCAAAGACCTACTAAGCCATATCAATAAAGCATGAGTCCGTCGATTTGTTTACTCAGGTCGACGGTCTTAACAGGCCGGCGGAGACCGTTGATTTTGCGGAGACCGTCAATAAGTAGGTCCCAGCTGTATCAATAGACGCTTTGAAAGCAATATGGCGTCGTACAAAAGGGAAAATGATTTTAAACAAAACAGTCGTAAATACATTTAATAAAAAAAATCAGTCGGAAAACGAACTTGTTAAAATTACTATGAAATATAACATGAGCATTTTATATAAAAAATAAAACATTTGTGAAAAGTTCTAGTAAATTGTTAATCCTATTTTCTTTTTAAAACAGTTTAAATTTTATTGATACTGAAACCATAAAATTCATATCTTCATAATTGAATACCCAATTAATCTTGAAATCATAGGGTATCGAGTTTTGGAATACCCAATTAAATGGAGCCAATACCCAATTCCAAAGGAAATGATGGAGTAATACCCAATTCACTTTAAAAGCTTATCTGTTGCTCTGTTTATGTAAATAAATAAGCACTTACAAATTTAAACATTCACCCGCTTGCATTTGAGAGTTAAAGTTTGTGTGGGGCTAGTAAAAAATTAATCAAACTGGCCCAATAGCGCATGTGCAGTGGTCCCCCTTTACGTTCATCCGTGGAAAGGTTGAACTCCACAAGTTTATATGTTTCTGTTTTCAGTACAAAATACCTGCATTTACTTATTAACAATCTGGTTTACATGTACACTTAACATGTTATGCTTTAATCATCAATCATAAGAGCTTTCCGCATCATATGTAGCACCTAATTTCATATTATAAATGAAGTTATTTGGGGGAAAAAATCAAACAGCAGACGCCATTTTAATCGTAATACTAACTGTCAACCAAAAACTGGAAACTGACCTAATGACTAAGTATAAAACTTTGTTTTTGATTTTTACAAATTGTGTTTGTCAAAATGCAAAGGCGAGTGCAGTTTTTGAACTTTGAAGGGCGAGTAAATTTGGAGGGTCACTCTCCGTGCAATTAGAACTTTCTCAAGTGTGTTTCATTTTTTGAAGTATCCCATAATGAGCGGCATATACATTGTTTTATGTTTAGTTTATTTTGGTGTGGATGCAGAGAATACGAGATGTTGATACTATGAGTTTATTTCTAAAACTGTTTAACAATATGTAGTCAATTGGTCAGTACACTAAGTAGGCGGAGACTAACAATCAAGTTTAAAGGTACTGCATGCAATATATATTTCATGTAGAATTAAATATGAAAAATCTCCCTTCTTTTAAAAAAAACAACAAGAAATGTCTAAAGAATCTCAAGGCAAATGATGTTGAAATCACTTGTAACTGATTTCTCTTAATGTCTGTTTTATTGCCGTGATAATGTTCTCATTTCTTATGTTTTGATTTGCAAGGGTTTTTACAGGCATGAATCATCATGTCATACTGATACTCACTGTTCAAAAATATATCTCACGCCCCATAGTATAATTCCAAGTGGTATTGACCATAACATATCGTTTCTATTTGGAAGGTAGATATTGCTTCCAGGTACATTTTCCATATCCTTCCATGTATACCCTTCTGGAAACCAAAAGGTTTCGCTCCAAATAAATTGTTCGATGGAATTCATTTTTGCTTTAGTCAGTGTAAATCAGACGCTTTTCTCCTTAAGCGTCCTTAGTGATATATTGGTTTTTGGCCCTGTTAAAAGTGGATGAAGCGGGGTACCAATATTTTAATGTGATAAAATCGGTTTCTCGTTGTACTTTCAGGCACGGAAAATAGACGGGACAAGACAAGACATTGTCAAAATGATTCTTAATGAACAGTGATTGGCACTTAACTTATGCTTTGTGAATAATTTTTAACAAATTGCAACCGTTTACTAGACATCTGCACATGTTCTTTGACAGCTCTCGTCTTTTGTCGGAAAACTCTTCTGGATAATGCTATTAATGACAATGATAATATCCCACATAGATCTATATCCCAGTAATACTGTTCCATTGTAATATATGAGTGAAATCGTGGCATTGGAATAATAATTAAAATGAGACATTTAATGATAAATCAATCAATCAGTCAATCAATCAAGCAATCAATCAAAAGGCTGGGTTGGCTGTTATTTCTTTTATTACATTTAGCTAGTCTTGGGTTTGTTTTTTTTAAGATTATGTGAATTTTATCTTTTTCTTTATTAAGTTCATTTATTTTGTCATTTATTTAATGCTGCTAAACAAACTGTATGAAAGATATTGGTTTCCAAGCAGTTTTCGGCCCTAAATGGCACCTTTTAACATATAAAATCTTACAAAGTTAGGTACCTGTCCAGCATAACCATGTTTGCAATGTTGCTCTTTTACTTTACTCTTTAATTAGAATATAGGCATTTTCTTACTTTATTCAAATTTTCATAGCAGTTTTTCGGACCTTTTTATTTTAATTATAGCCAGAACCAGTAAGGAATATTAAGATGATTTAATCAAAGAATTAAATAGAGGGTGTCAGCCGAAAATGGTAGCGTTCGGTAACAAATGTGTTAATATCAGAGACATATAGATATCTACAGTTGAGTTCACACTAAACTTCCCACCCTTGTGCACTTCTAGTGCACTAGAGCTGAACTAGAAGTGCACACCGTCCATGGAGTCTGGCAGCGTGAAGTCTATTGCACACTGTCCTGTCACAAATTCTAGTGTCTGTAGCATTTCTGATGTTATTAGCCAACATGCGACAGGATATAAATCAATTTCGCCGTGACGTCACAACAATATAACGGTATTCTGCCAACGTTGATTTTCGAACCCGGGTTCGATTCCCGGACGGCGCAGGTCACTTTCGTTGTTATTGATCATGAAATCCTTTCTACGGTCATTCGCACTGTACCTCTGCTCTGGCATGTACAGAAGTTTCAGTTCCTTGCGAAAGTGAAGGCAACTAGTACTGGTAAACTGCTTGACAGCCTGCCCAGGAACGATGCGGTGGTTGAACTGTGCTCTGGTAAATTCAGTGTGGCTTACTGCCGTGATCCGGAGTGAAAACTACCAACACCACCACTACTGTTGAATTTCGTGGGCACGCCGAACGTGGCATATCTTTACATCCGGCGACTCGTTCGTGAATTTCAGAAATTGTCGTACAACTTCCCGTGCGGTTATACAAGCATTTAGCATGCTTATAGCCATAAGACCTCGAGGTAACGTCATTCCTGGAGCACGTTCAATTGAATAATTTCCAAATTTAAAAGTGGTTATGGTATAAGATTGACACTATATTTATTTGGACTTAACTGCGTTCTAGAACAGATTTTTTGTTGAGTTTTACGCACCAACACTGCAAAGGTCACGTGGCGACTCTCCAGCTTAATTTGTGCAAGAAGGCCTCCGGTGTCTCTCCTGGCACGAACGGGCATCTGATAGAACCACCGACGTTTCATAAGCTAGGTGGATAGTTTCCTCATGACAGAATCCAAAGTCGCCGGTGGAGTTCGACAATACAGCAATGAGAGAGCAAATGGTTTGAAGCCAATGACCTTAACCAATCGGCCACTTTTAGTTCTGATTGAAATGGGTTTTTTCTCTCGATGTTGCGCCAAACATGTTTTATTGTTGCCTTTTTTCCGAAAGATTTTTGCATTATACATGAATGAGAATTTTTGTAAGTTTTATACAAATATATAAATTGGACGTAAAGATTTTAATATATGGTTTTTGTTGCCAGACACAGCCAGGAATAATCACATGAAAAGCAATTATTTAAGAAACGGTATTTTTATAATTGATAAATCATGTTTAAATTATAAACCGCTCACATACGTTATAACTTTTTTCTTCAAATATTGGTCAATTAATTATCATTAAGTGTAGAAATTTCATTGTATAAATTTATCCTTGACAACTGATCTCAGACCTCGATTCTTATCATTGGTTTCATGACAGCTGAAGAAGAGGAAGACAAAACTTAAATGTTTCATCTTTATCTCCCAGTGCCACTGCATATGTGTGCTCAATTATTTTCTTTTTATAAAGTCCATTAAATTTAACTTAGTCATACAAGTATACAAAATATGTCTTGTGAAGAGTGTACTCTAGTATGTAACACTTTTCACATAATAATACACATGTATGTCAATTAAACTTCTCATTGTTCTGTCTGTCTGTTTTCAAACACATTAAAATATAAAAACGAAGATACGAAGACAAAAAAAGTATTTATAAATAAATATATTTTTATTTTAAATTTAGTTTTTTTTTTATAAAAGAAGTAGAAAATCAGTTAATTAAGCATTCTAAGCTTTTTCATTTATCATGCATTTCTTACTGTTCTTTATATAATCATAAATATCAAAGGGAGGTAACTGCTAAAATATTTGTTATGTTAAGTTTACGTCAGTTGTTCCCCTTCGTTTGTCACACTACTAATTTTCATTATTTTTTGTAGAATTTATTGACAGGCATTACCGAATTCAAGTTATAAAATTTCTCTTTTTTTTGTCTTCTGTCCTTATTATAATTAACGTGTTTAGTCTAAGCTTAGTCAAAGTTTATTTTCGCGATATAATGCTAACAGTAAATTTTCTTGTCAAATGCTTTGACTAGTTAAAAAGTAGCTCAAAATAAACAAATTTTAGGTGATTATGAGCAATTTTGTAAAAACGCGACCTTTTCACCATGAAACTATACCTGAATTGAAGAGGGCACGGAAATTAAATGTAAGATCATGCTGGAAAAGAAGAGGAAAAGCAAGAAAAAAGAAGATTTTTGTTTTTATTTTGAAGGATTTGTAAGTGTTAATGTATGATAGATTCTTTAATTTTAACTATACCTCTCACTAAAAGACACAATCATGCATAATCTGCATTTCTCACATATCTATTTTTCTTTCCATTGACATCAAAATTAATGACTCGCGATCATAAAAGTATTGCTAATGAGATGCAATCAAGGTTTATCCTGATAACAAAAAAAAAAAACTTGCGTTTTTTTACGAAATCTAAAAATGCACTTAAAAACGCTTGTAAAGAAATTCTTAGAAATCATAAAAATTTAATGCTATGTGAAATGATTATTGATAGGATACCTCGGCTAAAAAACACATTGCATGTACATGAAACAAACAGAATGAATCGTCTCTCAAAAGTTTTCAAGAATGTTAATGTATATATATATAATAGATCTCCTAAATAATACTAAGCAATAAATAAGTATATCTGAATTTTAGTCAGACTGGGACAATAAAGTGTTTTGTAAATGCATAGCATGAAAACGAATCCTCACTGTATATTACGTCAATAAAACAAATGACGTCAGGAAAATTATTTGTACGCTTAATGTAGCTGAAACATGTTTTTATTAACTGTTTTTTACAGTTAGCATGTTAGAATGGAAAGAGATATTAAAATTTCTTGCATAGGATAATAATGATTATCGTTCAAATGTTTTGTAAATAATCACTCAGGCCTTTTGGCCTGTCCAGATACTTATTCCTGCGCATTTGAACTCGAATCGTGCATTAGTCTAGAACAATGCACGTGTTACGGGTCAATTTATTTGTTATATTAATTGTTCATTTTGCCGTGCACTGTTGGTCAATTAGGCGCGAAAAAGTATACTTAATGTCCGCGCATGCGTCAGTTGTCGTTTGTCACCGTGGCGTCTGTTATCGTCTGCTATTGACGTACGTGTATTGTATTGTACCAAATAGTTCCGTCAGGTACGCTTAGCGAAAATTCAAGAAAAACGTGCAAAACAATGCAACTATGTCCGTATCGCGTGCAATTTTGTAATTTGTTTTTGTATGTCCAATTATGATTTACGTTATATAAAAAATAAAAGAAGTTTTACATTGGTTTTTAACATTTCCCTTTTTTCCAAATTCCCGCAAACATTTCTTCTCCAAATCAACTTAATTGTCTTTATTCTCTTACAAGTATAAGTATACTAAGTCTTCTTAATATTACATCAATGCTATCTGTTTATCTAATAATTCTTTTAATAGAAAATATCTTATTATTAAGTTATTAAAACGCCAAGGTAAAATTATTTTCATTTCATTCATTTACTTTAAATGATTTTTATTTGCAACGCTCTGAAATCGTTGTATTGTTGTATTTATGTATGTTTGATTAACTTTTATTTCATGCTTTACAGTGTTTTACTATAATATATCAGATGATTATATAGATTTGCATGTAAGATTGAAATATAATTTCACTGAGTGAACACCAGATGCAATATTTTAGTGAAAATATAATAGCTGGTGTTTAACAAAATTCTTTATTTTGCTTTAAATGATTTTAGTATTTTACTGATTGCTAACTCGCATCTCTTGGACGTCAATACATCATGACGTATATAATTTTGAATAATTTTTAATTTCTCTAATTGCTTACATTAAATGATTTGTGTACATCACTTCTTCTAAAAAATTTACCTGACGATTTTTCCTGCCGTTATTCATTAGTTATATTCTCTTTTCATCCGCATTCAGATATAGTCCGGCTACAGTGAAAATTATATTTTATAAATTTCACTAGTGGTTTATCAGAATATAATCATCTGATATATTACAATAAAACACTGGAAAGCATGAAATAAATTCTGATAAACAAATAGTGAAATTTATAAAGTATAATTTTCACTGTAGCCGGACTATATATCTGAATGCGGATGAAAAGAATATCATAACTAAATGGAATAACAGGCCAAATTTAATGCCGTCATACCTAAATTTTGCTTCTTTTAGAAAAGAAAGTGGACGTCATCAACATCATGTTAAAAATGTAACAAAATAAGAGAAAGTTTAACAGAACTATATTTCAAAATTGATGATGTGGCGTCATGATGTGATGACGTCATAAAGGAGAATGCACGACGTTACGCGGCAAAATCAGTTAAATATATTTAAAATCACTTTAAAAGCATGAAATAAAAAGAAAATTTATTTGTTTTACATTGAAATACAAGATTGAAATATATTTCATTCGTGAACACCAGCTATGATATTTTCACTCGTGGCTACGCCAATCGTGAAAATATTGCATTTTCTTCATAATATGATATCATATTCAATCAATTTTACAAACCTACGCCAAAAGTTGTAGCAATTCTACACTGTTACATTGGTGGCCAATTAATGTGGTCTAAAAGCCACTGTGTTTGTAACACAGGCAAAGTTGATATCTATTAATTAATCACTTAGCTGAAATTTATTTTCAAAGTTTATTTACAAGATAAGAACAGGTAAAGATACATAAAATAGCAACTCATCTACATACTGCATGATGTAGCTCAAGATCTAATGGTTTTTATTATAAAAAATATAGCACATGTCTCTCAAAAAATGAAATAGTGTTCAAATACTTTTTTTTAATATTTAATGAGTTGATCAAAATGAGTAGACCCGATTCAGACATCAAAATATGCCGCACAATCCGTGGATTATTAACCGTAGCAATTCACAGGTGCTCGTCCAGTTTTGGGAAAAAATTGTGTAGCGATTCTTGCGTCCCGTCAATTTCCTTGCCATTTCCTGTCTATACTGTACTGTAGTGACCAACGCGTCAAGACTCAAGTAATCAACTGTTAAAAAAAACAATATAAACTTCTGCTTTAAATTGTGTTGGTGCGCCGTAAAACAAAAATAACAAATTGTGTTTAGTAGAGCACATTTAACTGATTGTTTAAAAGTGGAGTTATTCGAGCCAGAAATACACCTCTTGTTATTTCCAAAACGAGGCTACCTGTATTCATGCGGAAGTCCTTTGGTATTTCCATTAGTGCGTAAACAAGAGAGTGACCCAGATTGGATGGGAGTTTAAAAAGTTCTGTTCCTACGAGATTCATTTTCTTAACGGAGTACACACATATTTCCTATTGTGTTCAAAAAATATGAAATATATTTCATTCGTGAACACCAGCTATGATATTTTCACTCGTGGCTACGCCAATCGTGAAAATATTGCATTTTCTTCATAATATGATATCATATTCAATCAATTTTACAAACCTACGCCAAAAGTTGTAGTAATTCTACACTGTTACATTGGTGGCCAATTAATGTGGTCTAAAAGCCACTGTGTTTGTAACACAGGCAAAGTTGATATCTATTAATTAATCACTTAGCTGAAATTTATTTTCAAAGTTTATTTACAAGATAAGAACAGGTAAAGATACATAAAATAGCAACTCATCTACATACTGCATGATGTAGCTCAAGATCTAATGGTTTTTATTATAAAAAATATAGCACATGTCTCTCAAAAAATGAAAAAGTGTTCAAATACTTTTTTTTAATATTTAATGAGTTGATCAAAATGAGTAGACCCGATTCAGACATCAAAGTATGCCGCACAATCCGTGGTTTATTAACCGTAGCAATTCACAGGTGCTCGTCCAGTTTTGGAAAAAAATTGTGTAGCGATTCTTGCGTCCCGTCAATTTCCTTGCCATTTCCTGTTTATAGTGACCAACGCGTCAAGACTCAAGTACAGTAATTAACTGTTAAAAAAAACAATAAACTTCTGCTTTAAATTTTGTTGGTGCGCCGTAAAACAAAAATAACAAATTGTGTTTAGTAGAGCACATTTAACTGATTGTTTAAAAGTGGAGTTATTCGAGCCAGAAATACACCTCTTGTTATTTCCAAAACGAGGCTACCTGTATTCATGCGGAAGTCCTTTGGTATTTCCATTAGTGCGTAAACAAGAGAGTGACCCAGATTGGATGGGAGTTTAAAAAGTTCTGTTCCTACGAGATTCATTTTCTTAACGGAGTACACACATATTTCCTATTGTGTTTGTTGATTTTATTATACTGAATATTATAACATTCATGGCTTACTGTGTTTGATTTCGTGTTACTATTCTTTGGGATTATCACCTGTGTACAGTCAGGAAGTATTTGCTGACAAGAGTTACCGTTATTTGTTTATTTTTTTTCAAAATAGATTTTGTTTTTACATATTATTCAGTTATTTCTGTTCAGTAATTCAATATTGGATAATGTCTAACTTGGCAGAAAAACCCTAGAATATTTATTTTCAAGCAAACTGGAATCTGGATTAAACAAATAAAATTGTAAAAGTAAAGGAGTAAAAACTAAAAAGGTGGAATAATTTTCAGAACAGCATAAGAATCCCTAAGTTTAGTTCACATCTGGAATAAAGATGTGAATTTGTAAAAACCATGCCCATGAAGGTGACTGTTTGCTTCGATAAAGTTAAAGTGCTAGTTCCTTGTGGTGATGGTGAACTGCTGGTCCGTGAATTAATAGAGAAGGCTATAACACGGTACAAGAAAGCAATAGGAAAAGTAAGTATCTGATACAGAATTGAATTAACTATATTAGATTTATTTGTTTGGAACTTTGGATTAAAGCTTACAAAATTTAATGTTACCAAATATATTAAATATAAAAAAGTACCAACATTCCATTAAAATTTCAAAAACATAACATAAAGTACAGGGTCTGCTAGTCCAACAAATTGTGCGCTTTAGGGCTTTTTATTATATAGATAATGGTCACCCTTCGTAAAAGACAGACATCTTTGTAATATCAGATTGTAAAATCGGTCAGTCAGACCGTCTGGCAGTCTCAATATTGAGACTAAGGGTTAGGGTCTGCCAGTTGTAACCTAGAACTCCTTAATTCTGCGTGTCTTGTGACGCTTTATTTTGTGGTTCTTGAGCCGCTTTTATTTTGTGGTTCTTGAGCCACTTTATTTTGTGGTTCTTGAGCCGCTTTTTTTTTGGTGGTTCTTGAGCCGCTTTATTTTGAGGTTCTTGATACCTTCTTATACCGAGCTCCGTTTTGCTAGGTCAATGCATTGATTTTGTTTTGGCACCCAAACTTGCATTGCTTGAGCTTTTAGTGGGACTTTTAATATCTGAATTGCCTGATGGTTTCGATACATCTCTGCAAGATAGGGCTTTATAGACTAGCCCAATACTCCAACTAATTATAAGTTGCAAATTGAGATATTCTTCTATTTTGTGTTTGGGCAATATCTCCCCTCTACAAAAATATCATGGAATCTAGCTTTGGCATGTCAAAATATTTTGACTACCGAAGATGAAAAAGCTGAATTCTTGGCTGATCACTGTGTGGAGGGCAGTGGTTACAATTAACTTGTGAATAATATTTAGTTTTGTTTATTTAGGACTGGTATCACAATATTCATAATATGTAAGCCTTGTAAGGAGATACATGATGCCTCAATTTGATCATTAACTCACCAAGTATTCTTACACTTAACTACTTATGTTATCTAAAATGGAAATTAAAGTCGAAAAAGTACCATATACAGTTATTGTTTCAGAATGGAACTATACTTCTGAAGTTCTGATAGGATTGGGAAATAAAGTATTGTACTCTAAAGTCCAAATTAATCTCAAAACTCAAAATAAAAAAAGCCCTTAAAGTTACAAATTTAGGACATTAAAATTTTCAAGAGTTGTAATAGACTATAGTGCTATGGCACTTTAATAGTGTAATTGTTACTTTTATCAGGGTTTGCTCAGATTGTAAACACAGCTTAGTAAATATTTGTTTATGTCTGGACATATAAACAGTTATCATTTTATGATAATTTGCTCTAATAAATCCTCATGTTTACCTATAAATTGATGAATGCTGGACATATTTATACACAAGGAAAGTTTTACAAGGTTGTAAATATAATTTTATAGTATATACAGGCAGGTGATAAGTTGAACTATTATTATCTTTAATAGAATTTTAAATGAAAGTTTTGGAAAGTGTCACTATGAGCTTAAGCTATATTACCTGTAGTTATAGTAATTGTATTACACATAGTTTTATTACTAATTTTAATGTACATATGGCACATGTTGCATACATGTAGAAGAATTATTTTTTATCATACAAAAGAATAAGAAAAGTAATCATTCAGTTACTCTTAGAATTATATACATGTATAATATAAAATAAACATGTCTGTGACTCATTTGATTAAACTGTAGTTCCGATTACATAAGAATTCATGGAATCTCTATAATTACTTGGAATTAAAAACATATAGTACTTAAAAAATTATATGCTCTGCAAGCAGCAGTTTAAAATCACAATAATTTCTTGGAACCTTAAACACACATAATTATATAAGAAATCTAATGTTCCGTAGTTCAACTTTAATATTTCAATGTTTACTTCTAATGTACCAGCAAAATGGTTGTAAACTTTATACAATGTAATTTTATGTATACATATTTTTATATACAACAACTGTTTTGATAACAAGCTCTTTAAATGCTATTTGATTGCACAACCAAATAAAATCTAAACTACAATTCATGCAGATTTTTTTCTCAAAAAAAAATGTTGTTTACAGTCAGTTTTATATTTAAAGTACATCAGGGCTTCCATGAAAAAATAAGTTCCAAAATTTGGGATTCAGAGACCGCAAAATGTTTGACATTCTAAATCACATAATATAGGTAACAAAGGAAAAAGTTTTTATTTATATTTTCAAAGTCACTTGTAAGCCAAAATCAGGTGTAAATGACTCCTAAAGGTTCACTAATACATCATAAATTTATGAATGTTAAACTTTAAACTTAAATATTATAGTATTGATATTATATAAGTACAAAATATGATATGCAGGCTTGTGACAGATGTACAGTTAAACTTGTTAAATTTTACACAGATACATTGTATGAAAACGAACAGGAAAATAAAACATTAAAGTTTTGATATATTTATGAGTATTGTATCAAAAAATGTGAGAGATTTGATATTAGTTATTAGTTTGTTTATATATTTAGGTTGTGGAAGACGAGCATTCCATGTCAGTGATTTACGTGTCATATTGACATATTTTATTGACAGCCATCTGTTGATATTGGTTTTACGCATTATCAGTTTATTAAAAAAGTTTTATTTTTCTTGTTAAATACAAATGTAGTTGGGCTTTTGAATAGTTATTTTTTGGGTTATACATGTACTTCAATACATGACTGTAGTAATTTTAAGTATTTTTTTCTCATTGATGAAAGTACAAGTTAATAAGGTATAGTTGGTAGGTTAAATGCTTATTTTGGGTTATACTTCAGTAAATGTAGTAATTTTAATAGTTAAATATTTTAATAAGTGTTTTTTTTTCTCTCATTGATGAGATTGAGAGAACAAGTTAGTTAGTTGTAAGTTGTTTAAATGCTTAATTTGGGTTATATTTCTTCAGTAGTTATTCTAAAAGTAATTATAAGCGGCTCAATATGAAACACAGTGAAGCATGTTACAAAAAAATGAAAAATATCTGGAATATTCATCAACTGCAGATTTTGTCAGTTCATATAAAATTGGTTGCTAATATCACACAAATGTCAAAATTTTTAAACTTGCATAAATTCGTACATTGTTATATATACATGTAAGTTCTAAATAAATCAGAAATAATTTTAGAAAGATAATATATATATATAGTTGCTTTGAGATACTTACCTGAAAATTAGGATATCTATATATACATGTATGACTATACAAATTTTTATCAATATTCAGAGGTCAAAGCAATTTACAATCCAATTTAAATTATATTAATAAGTAACTTAATGTTTTATTTAGCTTTACTTTCAATCAGATGAAATGACAAAATTTATTAACTTGATTGATATATGTGGCCAAAAAAAACTACAAAAGTTTTCAAACTGGGTTAATAATTAAAGGAAATTTTATGACATATTATTGTCACCAATTGTGTATAATTTTAGTAGTTTATGACTGTCAATAAAACATTGTGTAGGAGTATAATGTTTATATAGTTATGTAGCATTACCACATACCTATGTAATAATGTAGTTGCCTAAATCTTCATGTGTCAGAGTTAGCTGCATTATAAAGATTTAATTTGATTACACAACACAAACATTATGAATTCTGACATAGACGATAAGAAAAATGACAAGATTTCATGTTAAAATTTTTACCCAACCAAGTGATTTGCCGTTGGTGTAAAAATAATTTTAAGTTTTTTTTTCAAAGCTCTTTTTATCATCTTTGTCACATTTGCCATTACAATTGTTACAATATACCAATACAGTTTTTTGTAACAGTACATGTATACATGTACATGTAGATCAACTATCATTTAGTTTTGGATATTGTGGGGCTTCTGTATTTAGAGAGACTGAGTACAGAAGAGTTTTGACTTTGAGACATTCTGACAAACTTTCGTTCATCTTGTGTTGTTGGGCAGACAACCAAAATCAAATGGCTAAGATTCACTGTCCATTTGAAATTGTTTCCTGCAGTGCGTGAAAAACCGTGTGTGAATGACAATGTCCCATGCAATTTTTGGTGCAAAAAATATAACCAAAACATTGACCTGCTACAGGTTCAGCCTGAAAGTGCAGACTGGCAGAGAAATTTTGACTTCCTACCAGTGCATTTTATTGATGTTGCCAACAGTATAGAACCTAATGTCATGTACATGTAAGCAAGCCAATTTGTCACTACATGTACAAAAAGATTTTTTTCCATTCTGTCACATAATGTCAGTATCACCAAAGCATAATGTATTGTTAAATTAATTATTCATTCCAAGTTGAAAACCAGATCACACTGTCTGAATGACAGTGTTAGATCTGAAGTCAATTATTTTCTTGAGAACAGCAAAAATTTTTGCAAGTTCATTCAATCATAAATTAAATTTATGCTAACTGATTAAACATAAATACATCCCCTTCAGGTGATTTCAAATTAAAGTAATAAAATTTAGTAACGGTTTGAACACAAATTTCAATGTTTGATGTAAATTTGAATTACGAAAATTTGTGAATTTTATGTACATACATTAACTTTTAAGTTCGAATGACAATTGATTTAAGCCATGGGGCAGTAGATTTAAAATCTGATAAATCAATATACACAATTGAACTTTGATGATGACCCCAAAATGTACATGACTCATCACTCAAACAGTGTAAAGATTTGAATAACATTTCAAGTGGGGAAAATGACCAGGTTTCAGATAATGGTGAAATAATTATAGGATTGCCCATTGTTTAGGGTAATAGAAATGTTCAATACATTTAACTTTGGCTGAATCATGTTATATTTAAGTTTTGATGTTTGTGATGAAGAAAGATATAAAGTTTACCCAAACCTACTTAAGCTGTCATAAAAATGTTTTCCAGTTACTCCCAGCCACACCCCCTCATAGAAATTTTGTGTGTACGGTTACCTTGATTAACATATTGTTTACGATTATAATTCATGAGTCAGCCACTTGCCCCTCACCATTGTGGGTTTGATTTGCACCAGGGACATTGAATTTCTTTTGTGAGTGGAAACTTTCGTGACTGGAAATTATTTTGCCTTGGCTTAGGCTTGTAGAATGTGGGTGGTTCCATCCAGGCTACTCATGCTAGAAATAAGTTATAACTCCCAGACATGACATGTTAACAAATAAACATAGGACAGAACATATTTAGAAGTTTTAACCTAAAATGATTTTTTTTCCAAAAGTCCATTCAAGATTATTTAGGGTAGAAAGGGTTAAATAAAACCCCTCCAAGATGAGTCAGCAGTTGTTATCTTTAAGAAGACATGCATGAAGAGCTGGAGGGACCGTAGAACCATCTTCAAAATAACAGCTGTCATGTTTTATTATGATAAAAATGATACATTCATATTGAAAGATAACATCTACATCTTCTAGATTGATAAAAAAATGTTGCAAAAGGATGCAATAATTGACACATACAAAGTGATGTCACAGTATTGGTCAACTTTACAGTACAATATTTTAAAAGACTAACGCTTAGTTTTTAAGAAAGTTGCTATTTGTAGGTTCAGAGCAATTAAAACTTGGTACTTTGAATATAAAAAATTCTGGAAAAAAACTTAAATTAATCAGCTGACTGTGACTGTGTATACAAAACTTAGTCTCATTTGTAGTATTACAATTACGCTATTAAATAATTAAGGCAGCATCAAAGGCAAACCATCTTATTAATCGCAAGAATATAAAAAAATCGGTTCTGAAGATAATATTATTATCTATATGAATGCAAGTAAAAAGTGAAATTATCAGGATAAATGTTTAAGTACACTATGTTTTGACCTGCAGTTTCCCCAATAATTTAAAGCTCTATATGTGACGTCCAGATTATTGCTTGTTTTAATATGCTTTCTCAAGGCTTTAATGGCCATTTGCCACCTGAGCTACTTGAGCCATTTGCCACCTGAGCTATTTGAGCTTTTTACCACCTGAGCCATACATGTGGTACATGTATATTTGGAAATTAATGATGCAGAATTTGTTCATGTACAATGTAGCTTAAAATGAAGCTTTTTTGAGTAAAAAAAAGTTCATCAATAAAGTTTTAAAATATATGGCTGTTGAAGAGTTTAACATGATTTCTCAAGGAAATTCTGAAAAAAAAATTTCCAGTCTGAACTCTTTAGTGCAGTATTGATGCTAATAAATGTATGCAGTTCTTGTAAAAAAAGTTCTTTCTAAGAGATTGTAAATGGTTCCATGTGCTGTTTTTCTGATTATATTTAATTAAAGAGCTTACCTGTGTTTAGATAAAGTCTTATCTGTTGATGAAATGTTCTTTTTTCCCCACTGATTTCTTGGTAGTTATACTGGTATAAACTTGAATGGATACATCAGATAGAAGACATATGGTTCGTGTTTTAAAAGATTTTATCAAATTTCTGCAGCTATTTTTATGTAACCAATTAACTATTATAAGAAGCATGGATTTGATTTTAAAGTTTAAGTGTTAAAAAAAAATCTTGAATGAAATATAAAATTGTTTATTCCCCTCCCAATTACCTGGTTCCTCATTAACCAGGTAATTTCATTTTGACATTTTCTTATGTAGATAAAAGCATTATTAACTTATATTCAAACAGTCATTATAATGTTTTGTTTATTTTTTGAATATGAAAAATGCATTAACATATATATACATGAACAAATATAGTAAAACTGTAAATTTCCCATGGGTATGATTGTGTCAGCTAGTCAGACATCTTTTACCGGGTTGGTGTTCAAACCAAGTCAATGAAGTACCGGTATATGCTATGCCTATGGACTCGTGTTGATCTAAACTGAAACATAATCTATCAATATAAATCATGGATATTGTTTGAAGAATAATGATTTGCATGTAAAATTTATCTGATATTTGATAATACATGTTATTGTACACATGCAAAAAACATACACATTTATCTGATACTTGCATGATAACATGTAAAAGGCAAATTTATCTGATATATGACAATAGTTTTTAATTCACATGTAAAAACCAAATTTATCTGATTTATCAAACAATATTCTTGTAAAGAGCATTTTATCTGATATATTTTATGATATACACATAAAACAGAATTTATCTAATAATTAGTGAAGTGCTACATGTATAATAATGTTTTTATTTAATAAACTTATTCATAACATTTTGCAGGGTGTTTCTGAAGCAATTTGAAGCATTTTGCATACAGTGCAACTTTTAGATGGAAGCACTCTATTCTACAATTCATTGTTATACATGTAGATGGAGGCTTACTTAATGATGTCAAATAATCATTCTTTTTGTTTTGTTTATTACAGTCGACAGATTATTGGGTCAGCGTACACACTGTAAGGACCGTCAATGAAGACTCGATCCTTGATCCTGATGATACACTGTGTGATGTGGTCGATGATAGGGAACAGGTATTATAGTTTTAATCTGTATAATTATGTATAGTGTAATATGTTTATTAATATAGTGCAATCTTAGGTGACAGTGCATTCTTGGATGACTTTTCTAAGAAGGCACTAGGCCAGACATTGGTAACAAACCTCTCAATCTACTCCCAGGTTTGCAAACACTTGGGGAGGGATAAAAAGGGATATTTTAACTCATGTCACTGTGTTGGAGGGGCATGGGTATAGTCTGGGTGAGCTCCAGCATAGGGGGGGTTGTTGAGGATGGAATGGAAAGATCAGTTATTGTTTTCCTCATTTCATCTATCCTTACAAAGTACTCAAATACCAATACTGGCTTATCTTCAGGAATAAGCAGATTTTTTTCTCCACCCGATTGTTTTTTGAATTCAAAGACTTCAATTTCATACATTCAAAGAACATGGTAATTTCTATTTGTTACAAAAAAGTGAATACATGTGTAACATTCACTTTTTACTGGCAGTATGTATTGATATATATATCTCATAAAGTAGGTAAATAATTTGGAAATTAACAAAATGTGTATGTAGGGACATTTAATGAAGGTTTTTACTATCGCCCCTTACCATTTTACCGTGCTACCGCTTACTGTTTTATTGAAGTTTAAGTGTGTACAGTACCAGATGTTTAAATATCTGACAGATCAATGATTCAATAAAGAAATACCTCCTTCTTTAAAGGCCTTCTTTAACTATCTCAGTTATACACCTTGTACTTATTCCTTGTTTAAATACCTCTTAGTGTCTCTCTTGTTGTTTAAAGCCCTGCTACAGTTGAAATCTTTGTTTAAATGCCCTGCTTTAATTAAAGTCTTTGTTTATAGGCACTGCTACATTCATACTCCTTGTACATGAAAAACGTTTTTTTAATGTTTTACTCTGATATTTAACTTGCATTTTAAATGGGAAATCTTTGCCAGGAGGGGAATTTTAGACAATTATTAATTTTGGGAGGAGGGGTGGGGGGAGATAGTTTTTAGGCTTGGGGAAGTAGCCAGGCACTGGCTACCGCAAAGAAAGGTAAAATTTAAAAAGGTCATGTACTTACAGAAATTATGCAAAATTATGGTTGTGGTCAATACTTTCCACTAATGCAAAATTTTACAATTTGTCAAAAGAGTACACAATTGGTAGAAAATTCATTTAAAAGAAGTCAGTATAAAGGGCAATGCAAGTTGAAATGTACTTCAACTTTTTACCTATCATAACTGTTTTTGTTTTAGTGTTTAGTAGATGTATAAAATAATGAAGTTGTCGTAAGTTACTCTTACTTTTAATAAGCAAATGTTGGTAAAATTACCAACCCCACCCTGAGATCTGTCAAAAATGACATTTGGTGAAGATTTATTCAGTTTTCAGATATGGCATTAAGTCAGAAGCAAATTTCCTGTCAGTTAAATAGAATTACCAGTTATATATATAAAATTGTCAGATATATAGAATTGTCAGTCACTTTACCAAGCTGGTACACAGAACTATCAGTACAATGTAACTTGATAACTGAATTTCTCTGGCATTATCATTCCCCGGCACAATAGTATCTATTTACACTACATGTATATTGTTCTCCCCACCACATTAAATCTAATTTCAATTAGTGTAATTCTGTTAGTGGAAATCTATTGGTATTGAATACCAATTTCAAGTGGTGGTGTGGCCCAGTGGTTACCATTTCAGGCAAGTAACTTAAGTATTGCTGGTGATGTGGGTTCAATTCTTATGTTCAGATTGTAAACATGAGACTGTAAACTCATTGCTAAATAATGGTTTGTTCCAAGAATGGATTCAAGGCTGTTTCAATAAGCTTATAGCTTCCAACATAATCAAACAGAGATAAATTTGTATAAATTGAATAGAGATGTTGGTTGGAATTTCCAGAACTGTTATGGTGTTGTTATTTTTTTTACCTTTTTTACATGTTTATGTATCTTATTCTTTATAGAAATATTCAGTTTTGAATCTGCATGTCACACTATGACTGCATTATAGAAAAGTCAATTTTCCTTCAATTTATAAATTTCTTTGAAACTTGTATAAATTTCCATTGACAAAAAATGTGTATAATATGTTTATATAGAGAGAAAAGCATACTGTCTTATTACAGCAACAGCCTGACTGTGTAAATAATGAATAGAATTGTTTTGGATAGGTTTTAAAATGAGTGTTGAACATGCAATTTCTAGGTTAATTGTTAGTTTAAAGAAAATTGAATTGAAGTACCGTACTTACTGCGATATATGTAGTGCATTTATATTATTTTTCTAGTGCATTAGGTAACAAGTGGTTTTAAGATCCACTGTGAATTTTAAATTGTCAAGGTCATTGGGGTGTCTGTGGATGAGTGGTACTAAGGTTGATGACTTCACACCACTTGCCTTTCACTGCTGCAGGTTGGAGCCGTGCAAGCGTTTTTTATTCTTTCATGTGCATGAAACTGTTGCTGTAAAAATCTATTAAAACAAGTCCCAGGTCTGGAATGAACCTGTATTGCATTGTCAATTATGTCAGTGAAAAACATTCACTTTTGGCCATTGCTTGAAAAGAACTTCTTCATTTTTCTGAATCATCTTTTCCTTGTGCAGTATTTTTTTTCGTTACAGCTTATAGCGGATTTTGAGGAACAGGGTGGTCCCCGTTCTCATCATAATGGTGGGGATGGGCAAAGTGTTAGTTCGACGGGAACCGGGAGTCCCGATATATTTGCTGCGGAATTAGCCAATCACAAACCTAATCATCATCGAGGGTACTCTTTCGACAGCCAGAATGATGTGATTGTTACAGACATAGATATAAGTTCAGGTAAAAATCTTGTCTTGTATAGAATAGTGAGTGATATAGTTTGATATAGATAATATAAAACCCTTGTGACAGCATTGAAATTTCTAAATGTAAAATTATTTAAAATAGACATTGAATTCAGGTCATGTAAGACATTGATGGCAGTTCAAATGAACATGCAGACATAAATATTAGTCAATGACACACTTTTCTTAGAATTTATTCTGAGTGAAAGAAACTTCACTAATGTCCAAAAGCATAAAATGGTAAACTTTAAATTTCCTTCTTGGATCAACTTTCATATTTTATTTTTGGAGGGGCATCTGTAGATTCAAGCTGCACCAGCATCTTTGTATTTTCTCATGTGAGAAAGCTATCAAGCAAGCTTATTCAAGGTTCATGGTTCTACAGGGTGGCTGTCTGTGTCTGAAATATTGCACAAAGGTGTACCTATGGTCTTCTTCCGCCAGTAGAAACTGGAATGTCGCCATATGACCACTGTGTGAGTGCAACATAAAACCATACTAAAAATAAAGAGAGAAATGTTTTGGGGGAAATCAAGTTAGAAATCTCAAGTTAGTGAACAGTTTAGAGCCTTATGTCAGACTGCATGGATGTGCAGGCTAGCCTGTATTTTTTCATCATTACATTATAATGTATTTTGTTCAGGTTCTGGTCTAACTGTTCGTAGAGGGAGTGAACCTGCCCTTAATGTACTGGAAGATGAAAACGTCACACCTTCAAAACAGAACAAACACAATAATAGAAGCTTTGATGACAATGCTGGACACAAGAAACAAGTAAGTTATTACAGGGGAAATGTCAGGAAATTGTTAACACTAGCCCTGCTTTCCACAGGAAATGGCAGGGATTGTGACCCTGGATTATAAGACCCTGTGCCCAGTACTCCAGGAAATCGTATATACTGTATGGATGACCTACAGTCAGATGGTCCTAATCAGCAACGTAATTTTCCCCTCTTATAAATGAAATCACAGTACCATTTTGTGCTAGTCTATACAATTCAATGTGTACCATGTTTTTCGATTGCCTTTCTATATTGGGAGCCTATTAATTTTTTACCCTTGTACCTTTCTTGCAAAAACAAATTTGCTTATCCACTGTGCTCTAGAGGGCTCCAATATTAACAGTCAAACAAATCTTAGGTCTTAAGCAAAACAAAATCACTTGGAAAGCTTCTGACACATTTTTTGTACTCTTAGTCAAAAATGATAGTTTGCCAAAAAAACCTCCAGTGTTAGATATTATCTAGACATGCTGTCCTTAAAATAAGAATTTTAACTTGGGGTGAATTATCATGATGTAAGACAAGAGTGAGATAAATTTTCTATGAAATGTGATAAACAAATGAGATATAAATAAATCTGTCAGACAGTGAAGAAAACATAACATTTCCTTCTCTCTTTTTAACCCAATGAAATCTAATCATATTTTGATAGGAACCTTTTACTTTAGGCTAGAAAATCCATGGGTGGTAGAGATAGTTTTGTGCATTTTCACTTTGGCAGAAAAAGAAACGTAACTTTATCATATTGAAAAGGAAATATAGTTTAGCACTTGCATCTATTCATCATAAAGAATGATTAACATACTTCAAGAATAGAAAATTTCCTTATCTCTGGCACTATCCTCCATGAAAGATAAATATAATTACAGTTGAGCGTACCATACCATATAACACATCTCTTTTATAAACTTACTTTGTCATTTCATGTTAAATTGCTGCAAAATGATAAAGTCATTAGGAAAGAAGGTAAAAACTCATACCCCTCTCACTATCCCCTTGTTGCTGCAAACCCACCAGAATAAAGAGATGGAGTATTTACTGTAAATGGTGTTTTATAGGATTCTTACAGCCTGCATTTACAAACATTTGGTTTGCATACAGATGGCTTATGTCTGTTTAATATTATAATCATGCTCAAAGAATTAATCCTTACCTCATTTAATGTCTTAAATGGACTTGTCCATCTTTCTATCTAGACAAAACATTTTGAGGACAAACTTTAAAGCTAGAACTGACTGAGTAGCGAACAATGCAGACCATGATCAAACAGCACAGGCTAAAGGTTAAACAAATGAGACTATGAATCATATTTCCACAGCAATGTGAGATGATGTTTTAAATAAAAAAATAATAGGAATTGAAACAATAAAAAACAACAACAAAAATGGTTAACCTTCATGTGACAGTGCTGTTAACATTACAATGTTGCCCAGTCTAAACAAAGCATTCCACATGCTGTTGTCAGATCAGAAACAGTCTAGTGTGTAGCCATAGGGGACATTTTGAACATTCCTGCTGTGAATTATTTATCAGGCTACCACTGTCTTCAATGTAATTAGAATAAAATAGGACAAAAAAGTCCTCCTCAATTTCCAGCATGAAATTGATATTGGACAACAAAGTGTCTGCATTTGGGATGATTCTGTATTATTTCCGACATCAGAGGCTCTTGGGAAAACTGTCTTATGTGGTTCTTAATTTTCAATGTGATACGTAAGAATTGCAACAAGTTCTGGAATTATCGAGTTAATACATTTATATATTGCCATGGGCAGTATTTCTGTTTGACCGATTGATGGATGTCATTGTAGCAACTGGTTTTAGAGTTGATTTCAATCAATGAACAAGATTTGGATAAATCTATAAAATTTTCTACTTTCTTTTTACTTCTCTTTGGGTTTCATTTTCTGACACTTTTAAGGCATACTCATTACGGTTGGGATTAACCTTAATGCCCCTTGCATGCATAACATGTATTTCCGGCATAAGTTCATAATTATAGGCTAGTATACAGTAGGTAATAAATTCTCAGTACTTTACCTAAAAATTTTGATCGGTTAGTTATTATAAAAAAAAAACACAACAAAACCCTCCCCCCCCCCCAAAAAAAAAAAAAACAAAAAAAAAAAAAAACAAGACAAAAGGTTACTTTGAGAAGAAAGAATGGAAGATGAAAGGGTGGGGGGGAGGGGTAACTAGTCCACTTGTGTTGAGAAAGTGAAGTTTTTTTTATATTTTTACTTCAAAAGTAAAAATATACTTGCTGTTAGAATGTCTTACAAAAAAGTGAAATAAAGACGAAAATTTTTACTTAACAGTACATCTTAAGCAGGCAAAAACAAATTATTTTTCCTTCTTTAGAGAGTGCAAACATGACTTAAATAATATTATTTTAAAAATGGTTTAAGAGCATGTTAAATGTTTTATGATATGATATCATCTGAGCATAGTAGCACTGAATGTGAAATTATTTGTCATGGCAAAATGTAAGCAAAATAGTATTTGTACAATCATACAAAATAGTAATTTTCACTATAACTGTATTAATTGTTAAAGGTATCAGGTCGACTAAATGGGCTCAAATTATTGGAGACTATGCATCTCTTAGCTCCAGCAGGTGAGGTAGTTTTGACCCCTGGTGTTGCTTTAACTTTGTAACACCCGAGGTAAGCTAAAATCATCTATTCTGTTTCGGCACCATATGACCTAAACTATGTTGGTGATCTGAAAAACCAAACAAAATAAAAAAAAGATAAACTTCCTACATCCTGTTACTGCACTTTTAAATGATTACTAGTATATGCAGTCATTGTATTCTAGTGAGAATTGTTCTAACATAATCAAAGATCAAGTCACTGTGTAAAGTATGGCAGTTGATTCACAGAGAAGAATATATTTTCTACTTGCACTAGGAGGGCCAATTACTCATCATCAGCATTGTGTTTTCTACATCAGAATAGGTTGACTTAATTTGATTGGCATCGGTATGGTAAAAAAATAATTATCCAGTGATGGAAGATCAGAAATGTGGCCTTAGAAATGTTTGTTATGTTGTTGTTCTCTTATGAATGAGGCTAGGCAAAAAAATATGATAATTTAACTGTTTTTTTTTGGCAATTTGCAATGGTTTTTTTTTTTTGGTGCCAATTCATATAATTGTGAGAACACTGGGAACTATTGTTATTTATAAATTACAGGTGCTTTTCATTTCATAATTATAAAAAATATGTAATGTTTCCCTAGTACTAGTATGTAAAAATATCTTCTATTACCCTATCACCACTATTTTTGTTTAGTGGACTTTCCCTGCTTTTATTATTGAATGGTATGTTGCTATTCTTAGTGGTTTTAGTATAAAAATGCTAAAGTTAAGCAGAAATTTGTGTAGGATCAGGCAAGACTGTGCAAGTGTGTGGGCGGGCCTGACATTTTACTACTAGCCTCTGCCAACAGGGGGCTCACAATGACTATGTTTCGAGTGTAAATGGTGCTATTATTATAAAACTTAATAATATTTTTAAGACTGCATGCTTCCAGACGAGCCAATATGTTTCAAGAACATCAAACTTGAGAAAAATGTACTAAGATTTTAAGGAAAAGAAAAAAGATTCAAGATTCAAGTAATTATTCACATGTTATAATTGTTATTAATGACTGATTTTGCAATATTTATCACCATATTTTTAGTGCATGACTAATGCAGTAACTGAGTATTTTTTGCATAATTTGACCTCCTTTTGGTAATTTACATGGATTATATATGTAAATCACTTCACAATATTTTACTTTTATTAAATACATTCATGAATTTTAGCGTGAATCTTGGGAGATGCTGCTTTAATATAGAGATCCCTCACAATGACTAAGCATTTATTCAATATTGTAAGATATGCAAATAACAAAAAAGAAATAATATGACAATGCATAGCTTGTCAATATGATGCCTTTTCTTCCTAACTTGGGTGAAGGGAGAAATCTCATGCCCCAGTCTATTTATGTTTAATGGTTAGGGATAAATTCTTTGTTGTCAGATTGCTCTTTAAACAATTCTTCCAAGAGACACACCAAATGATTAAAAATTAGGCTGTTCCAGATTGCATTTCAAAGACTGTGGGATTTTCTTTTAAACAATGGAATAAATTCTGTGCAGAACTAAATGAGTTTTGTCAAAAACCTGGTAGAAGTGCAATTGAGTAAACATATTAACCAGAAAATTCCATTAGTTTTAATTAACTGGCCGCTTAATTATGGGGGTAATTCATCCCCACCATCTGATTGTCTCAGTTCAAGAGGGGACCGTCTGTAGCATGTTGTCATGGCAATTTTAGATTTAGGGGATAGAAAAAGGATTGGAAATAATTGGGGATGGCCTTTAGGGAATTATAATTTTGGTACAGAATGTGACAGAAATATCATGCATTTTATTGGAATTCTGTGGTTTTACCAGGCTATTAGAATGATATTGGCTGGATATTGAATACCAATTTATTTAATATGGAGGGAAAAATTAGCCATTTAAAGAATTGTTGTAAGAGTATAAAATGAACTATTTTCACTCCAATGCTACGGGTAGGAGGTATTTGACCGTATTTCCCCTGATTAATTTGAGTGAAAAATTATACATTTATAATAAAGTCTATGTTTATGATCCCTTTTTCGCATTTACTGTATTAAAGAAGTCATGTTAAAAACAGAATAGGATGTCAACAATATAAGTTTTGCCCTGAAAAGTTAAAACTTGGAAGTTAAGCAATAGTGAAATATAGATCTATATTCAATTCACATTTTATGTACAGGGTGATAAATAGATAATTCATTGAGACAAATTTCACCATGCTTGAAACGCAAGATGAGTGTTTTTATTCCATCTTAAAACCTTCAGTATATACATGTATAAGATGTAACTTTTCACCTATTTCGTCACATTTGACTGACTTTTACAGGATTAGTTATACAGTTTACCTGTTAGTAAAATACATGAGATGTCATGTA